AGGTACACAGCCGAGCCGGCGGAGTACTCGTGCGACGTCTGTGAGTTCAAGTGCCAAAATCGACGCAGGCTGAAGGAGCATCTGGAACGGAAACACGCGTCCGAGTACAAGTACGACTGCGAGTACTGCGGCAAGAAGTTCAAGGTGAAAGGCGACATGAGGCTGCACGTCAGATTCAAGCACAAAGAGGGCCCGATCGTGTGCGACGTATGCGGGAAGACCTGCTCCAACAGCAACTCCCTCTACGTCCACCAGAAATGGGCTCACTTCAAGCCGAAGTACGAGTGCGAAATCTGCAAGAGACGTATGGTCACGCAAGAGAATCTCGATCAGCATATACTTCTGCAGCACGAAAGGCGGGAGAGTTTCGTGTGCGAGGAGTGCGGCAAATCGTTCACGGAGAATCATCGTTTGAAACAACACATGATGACGCACACCGGGGACCGACCGTACGACTGTCACATCTGTGGCAAAGCATTCGCCAGGCGTACAGCTTACAGGCAACACTTGCTCATCCACACGGGGAAACGTCCGTACATCTGTGATATTTGCGGCAAAACGTTCACGCAGAAGCCTGGCTTGATATGCCACAGGAAGTCACATCCCGGCGTGCATCCGCCGTTGCCCGTGGTGCACATCGAGCACATTCTCAGTGATTTCATGAAGAAGGAATGATCGTGTCTGAAAATACAGTAATGGCTATTTAGTAGTCTGTCAGACGGACCTTCCAGAATGAGGCGTTCATGAAGAATCTTTCTTCTCTCGTTACGAATACTAGTATATTGGTGAGATTTTCTGGATGAAGATGATATTGAGCACAGTCTCAATGGGGACATAGTGAAATTAATAATATTTTCATAACGAAGTCAAGCGATAATATAAAAATTGCTATTTGTATTTGTTGATGATGCATCTTCAGCCAGATTATTTTTCTTACTTTCGTGGTTTTTGATACAGAATTCTAGTAAGGAATCTAATTAATTGTCGAATTAGATGTCCTGCTTCTCTTGATACTCATTGCTGATCTCTAATCATGAGCTACTATAGAGGCATTACTGTTACATTGACTTGAGTCTGAAGTGAACATTTAATGGTGCTTGTTTAGGGCACATCTCTTACGTGATTCTGGGAAAAACTGTTGGAGATTCGAACGTTTTAATATAGATGTTAAACTAGTTTATATGAATACTGTAAAGTATGAGGTAGGAAAATGACTTAACTGGAAGCATTTGCCTTCCTTGATTTATTATAGGAACATCGTTTCACTATTTACATACGTTCTTACATACGTGGTTCAATGAACATGAAAATGTTGAGATAATATAAACATGCGACGATTTGTAACAATCATTCTTCACAAAGTCCCATACAATTGTAATTGCGTCAATTTTTAAATTCGAATAATTTACATTGTCCTCGTAGGCTTATTTTGTAGGCTTTCTTATATACTCGTTTTCACGGACAGTTTCCATGTGTCAAAGGAAAGTAATTTCATATGGTTACAATTAACGAATTAGATTCAATTTCTTGTAAAAACGAATTACATAGCGTAGATAGCGTGATTGGAAATTAACTGTAATATATACATTGTATACAAGGAGAAGCTACAAGGAGATATTTTGAGCACAAACTGTTGGAAAATAGCATATTTTTATTGAAATATTGTTCAATGAAAGGTTCTTACTTTTAGTTATCGACAATAGTTCAAAATAAAATTTGTGATGCCAACGGAGACCTAAATCATTTTTCTAATTAATTTGATAATTCAACAGAATATTTTTATTTTAAGTGTCTTGGGAAACAGATTTAAAAAAAGCTATATTCACTTTATTGAAATGCAAGAGTGTTTTCTTGGAGAGAATTGTAATTATAAGTTAAACGTTATATTTGTTGTAATACAGATGTCCACATATTTGTATTTAATTTGTGTTTGAAGCTGTGTATATTTTTGTTTGAATCAGGTAAGTACTTTATTAATTTAAACTTAAGTTGATTGTGTGATATAATGACAAGTGTAGAATTAATTGCTAAATTCTAATTTAAATCGCATCTCTGTTCATGTTTCAGGAAACTCTGTATTACTATTTCGGGAAGGCGTTACGGCGAGTTCATCTTTAACGATTAATCAATAATGCGCGTCCTTGGTGCGATAAAGAGAAACGATTGCCTCTATTATGGGTTTTTGCCACATGATCGCACACTATCGCCGATACAAGTTAAAAATACATTGCATAACATCGTCTTTCAGCACAACTCAAAACGTGGAAATTATAAATATTGTTCGATACAAAAGTGCATGTCTATAAATGTCTCAAAATAACAAATTAATGCGTTCAGAAATATTTTTGTACAATAACAAAATGCTTTCTCATTGATCGATGAAAATTTATATCACCCATTTATTTACCGAGAATTCATTGATTTTCCGATCAAGGTAATTAATTTCAATTAATCGATTCTATACTGAAAGTAACGACATTAATCAATTTCAATTAATTAATATCGTTACTTTCAGTAAGAAAGAAATTTACACTTAATCGTAATACAGAAAAGGGTATAATTATTTTTTCTGCAATATAAATTGTCTGACCATTTTTTTTCATTACACTGTTTGTCAAATAAATAAATATTCGAACTACTGTCTCCACCACCCACCCAGTAATACAAGCATCGAGTACTTTACTTCACCACAGTAGCAATAATAATGTGAATGTTCTATTGTCTTCTAATACCAAAACTCATCGTGACTATTTACTTCAAATGTAAGTAATCACCAACAATCAAGTATCCTCACTTTGGAACCCTAATAAACGTACATAATTTTCCTGTTTTAGGCAGGAACCAGCCGAACAAACGATCACAACACCATCCGTCGGAAAACGCGGCAAAATCGAAGAATCAAGAGCCGTACGAAAAGGAGGATCTCAGCTGCATACATGTGATGTCTGCAGCAAACAGTTCAAACAGAGGTATCTCCTAAGACGACACAAGGTCGTACACGAGGATCGAATGAAAAAGCCTTCCAAAGACGCCGCGTTCATGGAGCTGGCCTCGCAGAAGCAAGAGGCACTATCGTGCCAGACCTGCGACTTCAGGTGCAACAAGAGATCAAGCATGATCGCCCATCTGGCCCAGAACCACGACGGGTCAGCGACGAGTAAATTCACCAGCAATGAAAATTTCGTCTGTATAATCTGCGGCCTGACTTGCTCCCGCAAGGAGACCCTCAGAACCCACTTCGTTCGCAAGCATACCCAACATTACCCGTTCTCGTGCGAGCAATGCGGCAAAGAGTTCAAGATCAAGGGCGACCTGACCACACATACGAGGTTGAACCATCGGGAACCGCCTGTTATATGCGACGTATGTGGAAAGACCTGTCGGAACAGTCATAGCCTCTATACCCACCAGAAACACGCCCATTACAAAGCGAAATTCGAGTGTCCGGTTTGTCACAGGCGACTGGTCACCAAAGAGAATCTAGACCAGCACGTGTTGACTCAGCATCAGAACAAAGAGAAATCCGTGTGCGAGGAATGCGGCAAGACGTTCTTCGAGAGTCACGACTTTCGAAAGCACATGAGGATACACACAGGTGACAAGCCGTACAGGTGCACGGTTTGCGCAAGAGCGTTCACGACCCACAGCAGTTTGAGCCAGCATCTTCTTCTCCATACTGGCGAGAGGCTATACGTCTGCGACGTTTGCGGCAAGTCGTTCGCCCAGAAAGCTGGCCTGATATGCCACAGAAAAATCCACTCGGGAACGTTGCCTCCTCTGCCTGTGATGCATATCGATCATATATTGAAGGAGTTCATGAATAAATGAAAGCTACGTGTTGCATTTAGTTTTAATCTTTTTATCATGAAGCGAAACAGGTTCATTGATACCCGAGCTGTTTATTAGAGATAGTTCTTGAGATTTTGTTATAATGGTTTGTGTGATGTTATTATATATTGGGATGTTTGATGTGCGGGTTTTTAACGTTGCATATAATTGTCTTCTTGATAGGCAGGAACCAAAAACAGAGGGCTTTCCAAACGATCAATATAATAATGAAGCGGGACGAGCAAATCCTGGGATATTAACGGTTAAAACCATTTTTATGAGAAGTAGCTGTGAACGTGAAATTCCATACAGAATTTCATTCTTTAATTGTAAAACAGCGTTAATCTTAGAGTAACGATAACGACTTATCTGTTCCTTTTATCAGTTTCGCATCGACCCAATGTTTTTCAGATTCCAGCGTTCAATGGCATTTATTAAATAAAAATAATTGCTTTTAGCATAATGTTCCTGGGCTTGTGAATTTCGTACGGAAAGAAATAAACGTTCATAATAATTCGTATATAATAAAAATACTATAAAACTTTTTTAATATTCCACGTTAAGAGTGCGTTGAAATAAAGTTCACATTCTTTAATGACTTCTTAACTGTCAATATATTCATTAAAGTCATTGAAATAGTTTGTAGAGGCCTGTAAAGACTACTTTAACCCAATCGCATCATAGTTCCAGTCAGATTTTCAATCACGATTCACAACGTTACAACGATCTAGATGTACGATTTGTAACGTTCACACGCGAACCGTTCGAAATAAAGTATTATTTTTTCTACCAAACATCGCACGTATGATTCAGCATATATGTATATAGCATCGCTTCACCCTAATCTCTCTCACTATCGAGCATATATCTCACGAAACTAATCCCTGTATGGTAGTCTCTCCGCCAGCCTCTCCAATCTGCAAGAAACTAAAATCGTTTTGTGAGCACACACACATACACATACCCTGCTAACCACGAAGCCTTCCCCCAATTTCCGCGTACACCTCTCTAACCAGAGTCTGGACGGTAACAACGCCTCGTAAGAATTAAGTGAATCTCACTTGAAAAAAAAAAAAAAAAAAAAAAATAAATAAATAAATAAAATCGCTTGCAGTCCAGCAAGACCAGACGGCAGTCCCCTCTAATAACGTTTCTGGTCGATGGTGTTTCAGGTTTGAGCTCGAAAGCCTCAGCTCGCGCGGTATCTTTATCTACGACAAGGAGTCGGTGGTTATGAAAAAATGGCAGATCCTGGAGTTCGACGGGAAGCCGTACTACGCGTTTGTACCTGAAGGCGACGCGCCGTTGCCCGAGGACGACATACCGGAGGAGTTCGAGGAGTCGGGTCACAAAGTGGAGAAGCAGGATTTCGTGAAGGTCGAGTGCCTGTACAACGAGGACGAGCTACAGTACGATTCCACGGACGAGAAGCTGTACGACGAGGAGCACCTGTTGAACGGAAGTATCGAGCAAAGGGAAGACGAAGAAGAGGACGTGAAGCCGATCATTCTGAACGGTTCCCTGGAGGGTGATAACGATAATATCGGGGATTTGTATCAGGTCAAGGTCCAAGGTAGCATGGTTACCATAGAGAAGCTAACGTCCGGTGAGACGGACGAGAAAAACATCGACTACCAACAGGAGACGGAGGATCAGGAGATCTACGCCGAACAACTAGAACAATTAGAACAGATCGACGATCTAGAACAAGGGGACCAATCGGACCAAATCGAACAAGTGGAGTACTTAGAGGAGGACATTCTAGAAGCAGCGAACAATCACATGATGCCTGCGAGAACGCGCAGAAAAATCTCGAGGAACTCTGGTGGGGCGTTGAAGTGCAAGGTATGCTCCGAGATGTTCAGCTCGGCGATCTCGTTCCGTAAACACGTCGCCTGGACGCACAAGAAAAAGGTTTGCATACAAGAGGACGGCGCCTACATCTGCGCCGTCTGCGATTACAGGACTCTGAAGAAGAGCCTGTTCGCCGCCCATTTGGAGAGAAAGCACGAGACCTGGTCCAGAAAACGACCGAACAACATGCTGTTCCCGTGCGCAACCTGCGGGTTTGTCTGCAGATCGAAACACTCGTTGCAGTCCCACTTCATTCGCAAGCACACCGATCGGTACGAGCATCAGTGCAAGTTCTGCTCGAAGAAATTCAAGGTGAAGGGCGATCTGACGAATCACGTGCGGTTTCATCACAAAGAAAAACCGATCAACTGCGACGTATGCGGGAAACTGTGCCAGAACAGCGGCTCGTTGTACGTGCATCAGAAATGGGCACATTACAAGCCCAAGTACGAGTGTCACATATGCAAACGGCGTATGGTCACGCAGGAGAACCTTGACCAGCATCTGTTGACGCAACACGAGAAACGTGAGAAGATCGTGTGCGCTGAGTGCGGGAAAACGTTCACCAAGAAGGACTCGTTCAAGAGGCACATGGCGGTGCACACCGGGTGCAAGCCACATTCCTGTCTGATCTGCAACAAACCGTTCGCCCGTAGATCGCAGTTGAGACAGCATCTGTTGATCCACACCGGGAAAAGGCCGTTCGTGTGCGACATATGCGGGAAAGCGTTTACTCAAAAGCCAGGTCTGATCTGTCACAGGAAAACTCATCCTGGACCGCATCCACCGTTGCCCGTCATGCCTATCGCGGACATCGTGAAAGAGTTCACCGAGGGATACGTTCAAGAGATCAGCGCGCGCGAACACGAGGAGAGAATCGAAGAGGAAGCGTAAAGACAGACCCTTGTCCGTCCTCGATCAACTGCCCTACTTAGAATCGGTTATTCGTTAATCGTGAAATAAATGTCGATTCGGGAAGTGGTTTCGTCAGTTAAAGGAGATTCTAATTCATTGTCCCGTCTACTAGGAACAGATATTTGAATTTCTTTGCATATCGATACCATTGATCGCGTTAAGAATTCCGAAAGTGTGGAGTGTTGAACGTGAACCTTGATCGCGATGTCCTGTTTGAATTCATGATTATCCTCTGCTCGTTGTTGAGAAATGATTGGGGGAAATGACATTTACTTTGGAATTTTCAATGAAACTTTTTTGCCCGAATTTTTTGTCAGTTCTTGTTACTATTCTTATTAGTTAATTGGGCCAATTGCTTGGCTTATATCTTCGAATAATTTTTACGCCGGATTCTTGCATTCGATTGTCTCGAAATATTGGTGTTAATGCAAGTTGCATTTTATTCGCGTTTGTTACGAGGCCAAAATACGTACAACCGTTTTTTTATTCGTTTTCCATTTTAATTGCGCGAACTACAGATTAACTTCGGGTTAAGTGGTTACGATTAAATATGTTTCTTTATAAATTAACGAGATTACGAACAGTATGCTGAAGAATGTGACCTTTTCGATACGAAGACTTCAGAAAACACATAAGATTAACATTTCCCTATCAATCCGAATGTTCGTTAAAAGATGAAATATATTGCATAGGGAATGAGAACAACTAAATCCCAGGGCACTTTGTATACCATCAAGATCGAAAATGCGGAATAGCAAAACAATAATTTTTTAGACTTATTGCATATAATTGTAAGTATTCTATAAGATGTACAATATAATAACAGCCTTGTAAATTTAGGATTTACAGATGAAGAAATGATAATATCCCCTTGAAATGTCCCCTCGACGAACGTGTAAAGTCTACGAGCCAGGCTTAGCCTCAGATATGTTAAGCAGTTTCATTGTTGATGAGAATTCTAATTGATATTATATGAGAGAAAAAGTTTTCTGATATCGATCACGATGATCGCAGTCGAAATGTGTACACTTTTTCAAAGAACTGAATCTCTAGATAACGTATCATTACAATTCTTGTATCATATAATGACGTCGCTACGACTAACAAGAGCCGTCTCCAATTGAAGTTAACTGACTTAGCATTATCAAATCTACAGTAAGGTGAAATTAACCTTTTCTTTATTTTCATCTCTACACAATGTGATTGTTCTGCACTGAAATCGGTTTACAGACTCCTCTCGATTATCGTCCTAAATTCGGGTTCGCGTCGGGACAATAATCTTATAGGGAGAAATGCTTCGTAAATTCGTGTTTTCCCCGAAGCCCGAATAGCTGCCACGACCTCCCTCTCCCCAGTGGTAGGGATAACGCCTGGACAATAATCGTGTAGGACAAGCCAGACGATAATCGAGTGGAGTCTGTATCTCCTTTTAGACTTCCTATTGTACAAAAACTACTTGCTTTAAGGATTAATTTAACAAAATCAAAAACAACCGTAACGTCATTACTGGCAGTTAATGAACTGTTCTACTTTGTGAATTCGTGGACTCTTGTTGTGATGTACAGGGTGATTTAAAAGAGGATATTTGAATTTCAAGGGATACTTGCAAACTCAGAAATAATGTTTCGTTAACGAAGAATAGTATATCAATTTCTCTGACAGTAATTCGTAATTTTGTTTCTATCTGTAGATTAAAATCTATTGGTCGCTCAAAATCGCTTCCCTACTATGAATAACATCGACTATAAGTCCTATTATTATTATAGCACAAATTCTCTACCTGTTTAATAGATAAATTCACATTTAGAAACGTGCGACAGATTTTTGTTATAATCACATAAACATTATTACGTGATTACAAGAAGAATTAGAGACTTTTGTCGCTAATTTAATATTAAATTATTCAACAGGTAACTCTTCGCAGAAGATTTAATATTTTAAAACGTTAAAATTGCCTTAACCAAGTACATGAAAATGGATTGCAGAAACAGTCTCATGAAAGAAATGTGATTTCAAAGCAGTTACTAGTGTACTGGTTGAATGAAAATTATTGTAATATAATATTGTATAATAAGTGAAAAAAAAAACCTGTCAATGACCTTGAGTAACCAGTTACTTTTAGTCCAATTATAGAACACAAAATCCAATATTATTCTACAGAAAATACTAAGAAATTACACAACTAAAAATCCAATATTTATATAATTTGTCTGCTCTTGCAAATTCTTCGCTTCTTTCTTCTGAATTACCCTGTACCCCAACGCTTGTTTTCTTTTTGCGAGCTAGTCCTCCCAACACAACTGTAACATAACAGTGAGACCGCCCCTCCATAGGATACATGGAAAAAAAGCTCACGTGGAAAAAAAGCACGCCAACGACGGCTATTTTTCTAAAATCAATACCCTAGCATAATACCTTCATAAAGACACGTACATGCTGTGTATAGCTTTGAGTTTGAAATAAATATTTTTACTGAGCTAGATCTTATCAACTAACCCCCTATCCCTTGAACAATTATCAATTTGTATATTTCATGAATTCTGAAAAGTTTGAACTCGACAAGGTTGAATCTTAAAGCGACATCGATAGTTTACGCATCGTCGTTGAGGGCATCGAAAAGATTCTCGAGATCATAAAAAACCCTTAGAACACCCAGATAAGTATGCTTGCTGTATTACACCAACGCCGTAGAACTCGTAATAATCCATGATTTTTTTTATACATTTCCAGGCTACGACTGTTTATGGATCGTTTAAAGCTACGGTGAAGGTATGATATACATATTTGAATCAGCAAAGAGATTAGTATCCATAAAGAATCCATTTGTATCGATAGCATTACGATTTAAAATCCAAACGGACATAGTAGTAATATGCATTCATCCAATTATCTAGACACTCGAAAGTTCTTTCTGCCCTTTGCCCAGTGATCTAAACATATTTCAGGTAACCAAAGGCGATTCCATCGAGGTGAACCCTCCGCCATTTCATCCAACGTCTAATTACTAAGACTTCTGCGCCCGCTCTGTGCTCGACCATAACCCAAGCCATCGATTCTCTGTTTTAGGATCCTGGATCCCCTCGGCGAAGAATTCAAGACCGACACGGTTTCAGCTCCCAGCTTAGAGTACGTGAGCTGGATCGACAATGAGAATTACGCGGCGATCCTATCCACGGACCAAGAAGAGAACAATACAGAGAGGACCGTGCCAGGATTCGCTTTAACGAGCCGCGTCGATCGTCGAACAAAGAAACGGGCACTAACGACCCGGCTGGAGTGCGACCACTGTCACCGTAAGTTCTTGAAGAAGAGCAACCTCGCCGAACACTTGAAAAAGCACCGTCACAAGTGCCCGGACTGCCCGAAGACATTCAGGCTCAGTCGATACTTGGCATCTCACGTCGAGAAGATCCATCGACGCCAGGTGTACGACTGCACCGTGTGCGAGTACAAAAGCAACAACAAGGGCACCCTGAAGAACCACTATATACGATTGCACACGAGCAACTACAATTTCGCCTGCGACGTGTGCGGCAAACAGTTCAAGATCAAAAAAGCGTTGAATCACCACGTGAAACAAAACCACAGCGACGCGCCACCGATCGTTTGTGACGTGTGCGGCCATTTCAGCAGAAATCTTCACGCTCTAAAGGCCCACATGAAGTACAGACACTATAAACCAGAGTTCATCTGCAGGATCTGCCGCAGAGGCATGACCACGCAAGAGAACCTGGAGCAACATTTGACCTGGCACGAAACCAGGGAAAAGGTGTTGTGTCCCACCTGCGGCAAGAGGTTTAGGAGTCGCGACCTTGACTCGCACATGAGAGTGCACACCGGGGTGAAGCCGTTTCCCTGTCCCGTTTGCGGAAAAACTTTCAGGAGACAAACCGCTCAGGAGCAACATGTTCTTATTCATACAGGGAAGAGGCCGTACGTCTGCGATATTTGTGGACAGGCTTTTGCACAAAAACCGGGATTGATTTGTCATAGGAAGAGACACCCTGGACCGCTACCCCCTCTACCTGTGGTGTCGATTAAGAATATCGTCACGGAGTTCACTAAGGAATACACCATGAAGAACGCGATTATTAAACTTGAATGATTTATTGCGGCATTCGTTGTCGCGACGCTTCGTAATCTCTGACTTGGGATTTTTGACGGATGGGCTGTGAGTTCAAGGTTTTTAAAAAGAGATCGAGATTCTGTACCCTGTTTTTTGACACGTTCAGTGTTTGCGAGTTTTCGGGAATTTTTCGGTAACGCTGTGGGAATTTGGTGTCAGACCTGTTTAACCCCTGTATTATTCGGGTCAGTTTTGACACAACGCCAATTTTTGATTCTTAAATTATATTTTTTATCATAGAAACTTGTGTGTTAATTTGATATACCAAGAACTTACATATATTATGATCTACAGGCAAATATGTTTTCTTAATTCGATTTTAATTCAGGTATAATTTAGTTCAAGAAATCGTAATGCAATAATTTATTAAATAGTGCTTGTGGGTTAAAATAGTACGATACAATCATCGGTATAATTCTGCATAATAGAACTATTATGATGAAAATTTTTATAAGGCATACAGAACTTGTTCGACAGTTAATGTGTTAAACAACAGGGAGCAGTAATAATAACTTTTTGCTGATAATATTGAAACACTTTTGAAGAAATTTTTTATTCAAGAAATATGTAAGGTGGACATTATTTCCGAAGATCTTTGATTTTAAACAGAACTTGAAGCCCAGTAATGAATTATACATATGTATTTCGGAACGTTTGTACTTTTATAATATTCCCGCCGTGACTGAAAGCTTCTCATTGCCAAGATGATTATTCCTTGTTCGAAGGAATTCGTATTTTCCAACGACGACTTACAAAATGTTGTATAAAATATGCAATCTACATACAATGTGGTACGCAAATTTATATAGACTTATTTTACACGAATTTATATTCTCTTTTTATTATTAAATTTGGAAGCATGTGAATTTTTGTAAATCTTTTACAAATTCTAACGATGTTTATCGATTTTTATCGATAACACAGAATTTTAAACATTTAAAATGTTTTTCACAAATATTGTTTATACTTTTTACTGTACAATGAATTTTTTAATAAAATTGTGCTATGAATTAGCATGCAATAAAAAAACACTGTCTAAAATGTGCTATATCTATTTGTGGACAAATAATATAAGCAGCACACGAAGCCAATAATAAAAAATACAGTATTCCCTTCCTATAGTCTCGCTTCATATGCCTCTTTATAATCGCATCGCCATCTCCACGAAATCGTGAGGCTAGCAGAAATAAAAAAAACAAAATCAAGCTACCATTCAATGAATCCCTACAGTATAGCGTCCATTTCTCTTTATAATTACATCAACAGTCCCAAGCGGTGTGTCTATAGAAAGGGAATACTGTATTTCCATCAATCTAATGTTATCTCGAAAATAACAACCTCGCGAACTAGAACTTCACTGCTCGATACCAATGAATTTATAAGCGCTCGTGAAATGTTCGTCTGCTAAAAAGTACTTCAAGTAAGTAAGCTCCTCATCTAGCACGACACCTTGCGATACAACAGTCACATATTAACCGGACCGAATTTAATCTGTTTTAGGCGACGTCCGGTGAATCCCCTGAAAGGCGTCAGGAGCATAGACGAGCTCTGCGGCATCAAAATAGTGAGCACATTCTCCTTGAAAGACGGTCTCGTAATACGCAGGCCAAGAGTAAAGACGGTACCCAATCGAAGATCTAATCCCACGTCTCGAAACCCCAAACCAAAGGACCCAGACGCACCGAGGCTCAAGAGGATCAGAACACCACAGATAGCGATCAGAGCCCTGGAATGCGACCACTGTGGCAAAAAATTCACTCGGAAGTCGTCGTTGATACCTCATATAAGGAAGCACATGAACCAGTGCACGTTTTGCGAGCATGGTTTCCAGAAGCGGAAGGAGCTGAGGCAACATATCAGCGAGCAACACGGGCCGCTGATTTATCCGTGCCACATGTGCGACTTTAAGAGCACGAACAAATGGATATTGAAGGATCACATCATCCGTAGGCACACTACCAATTATCCATACACCTGTACCGTCTGCCAGAAGAAGTTCAAACTGAAGAACGACATGAAGCAGCACGCTAACCAAATGCACAATGATGCGCCAGCCGTGATATGCTCCGTCTGTGGCCATGCTTACAAAAGTGTTCCAGCACTGAAACGGCACATGAGGTACAGCCATAACAAGCATCCGTTCGAGTGCAGCATATGCAAGCGTTGCCTGTCCACTGAGGAGAGCCTGGAGCAGCACATGATGTGGCACAAGGAGAAAGAGAGAGTGGTATGCCCAACCTGCGGGAAGATACTTCGAGGACGTACTATAGAGGGACACATGCGGGTGCACACTGGACTGAAGCCATACCCGTGTCCAGTCTGCGGGAGATCGTTCACCAGGCAAACCGCCATGGAGCAACACATTCTGATCCATACCGGCAAAAGGCCGTACATTTGCGACGTCTGCGGACAGGCGTTCGCCCAGAAACCTGGACTGATCTGTCACCGGAAGCGCCATCCGGGACCGCTACCACCGTTGCCCGCTGTGTCGATTAAAAGCATCGTGATGGAATTTACTAAGGAGTATACCATGAAGAACACGGGTGTTGACATTGAGTAATTTTTGGCAGTGATAGTATAAATGTATGATAGTATGGTCCCTATCTTCGAACTGGAGGTCGCGTGCAATGGCGGAAGGGAGAAGTATAGTGCGGTTCAGTGTAAGTCTTTTCGAGTACTTGCTGGAGTAGAAAGAATACTCATAAATAATCTCTAATGTTTCTAATAAAGATTTCGATGCTTGTCGAAATGGAAATACTTGGAATTATCATCATCAGATATTAAGAATAGTTTTCTTTTAAAGAGGTATACTGTTCAAAATAATTATAGAAACTCTGGGAGTGGCTCTGATAATTCTTCTTTAAGTTAGCGGAAGAGGCGACGGTTAAAACTTTTGGCTTCATAATTCAGTTTAGACGTTCTGGTCTCGAAAGGTCACAGTTTGATTTACTAATTCCTGTTGTCGAAATTGAAAACGAACACAGACAAACGACAATTTCAAATCATTTTGACATTCACAGGGCTTCGATAACTATACTTTCTCCGGCATTTTGAATTACCAGAGAGAAAGATTACCAGAACTAGTTCCATTATTTATATAGTTATCACGAATAGTATATCACTTCAGAAGGAAATTACTTTGAGTAATTGCAGATAAAACGTGTGAATATCACAGGAAAAATTGCTATTTTACTTCAATTCGGAAAGTTTTGGGACAAGCCGTGTACTTTTGAACCTCATATGTACTCGTTACACGGTTCGAGAACAATTGAATGATAGCAAGTACTTTATAAGAATATACATAGTATGAATTTTCCATTTTTGTGAACATTAATGAAACTTGAAGAATGGAATTTTAGATATTGAATTGATAATGATCAGTATATACATACATATGATATACGTATATGTATACATACATTGTATATTGAATTCAGTCCTCTCTGTAGTGTAGATATGCAGAAAGAGATACTGTGTTTAGTGCTTTGTTCAAAGAGTATTTTAAACATCGATTCGAAAGTGCGCATATGTGTTTATAAATATTTTGCAAATAAGGAGGCTGCACAGTCGCCTCGGATTTTGGTGAAATATTAAGGGGTGAGCCTTGATTATCAATGATGACATTCCCTGGATTACGTCGCGATAGTAATCATCTTTTTAATTAACGGTTTTAAATTTAATCAGAAAAATAGATAAGTTCAAGCAATATTGTAAACAACTTATCAGATCAATGGATAAGATATTTATAATTAGACGAATGAAGTTTACATATCGTGACGTTTGTATTTTATATAATTATTTATGTCGAACACATAAATATGATGCAATTTTATTTGATAAATGAAGTGGTTGTGTTATAAATATTTTTAAATAATTTTGCAATATTATACGTATAAATATACATTTTTAACGTACAGAGAACTCCATGTTAGTATTATCAGTTTTACTATATTACTTAATGTTTCTATATTTATGATTAAAAGTGTATGTAAGAGGATTATGTTATTATTAAAACATAAAAATTTCATCAAAATCTGAAGTAGACCAACTGTAGAGTCTCCCTATAAAATGTATAAATTGTTTATAAGCAAAAACAATAATATTACATTTAGTTAACACGGTTATGTCACTTAGGAATAAGAAAAAAATATATCCCTTATTTACTTAAAATAATTTTCACGGACTATCGAAATGATAGGATTGTTTGGAAGATGAATCGAGTTCTGTCATTATAATTTTTGTTTGTGACGTTCGATATAATAATTTAAAAATCCAGTATGTAAATCATACCAAAAAGAAATATCACCTTCATATTATCATAAAATGTCATGTATTACTTTTCATATAATAATATAAACTCACTCAGAAAGTATAGTTTTGTCTAAGAGCTTACATTTCGCATATGTACGGATGCATATAATTTACATATCTTGATGAAGTATTTATAAATATACGTACATACTATTAGTTTAATTTTTAACGTATTATTCTGTAAATAAAATTTTAAAGGTGTATACTATGTTTTATCGATGTATCCACTGCACTGCCCTCTGAAAGGACCTATCAGCTTTAAACGCCGAAGATTAGAGTGCTTGTGGGAATGTTTTTTTAATCTGAAAAACCGATTAACTTTAAACTTCATATATTCATTCCTCATGCATTCGTAAACTGTATAAAAACTTTAGTAGACAAAATATAAGCGGTTTTTGAAGTACGGAAAACACAGTGTGAGTTCTATCAATAATTTTTACCTTTACTGTTATCAGAGCTTATTATTTTATATTACAAAAAAAGCATTTATTGAGAGATAAATTTTGTACATCCTCAGATAGGAATTTATATTGATATCGTAAATGGTAAAAAATTTATTTGAACACAAAATTAAAAATACGCTGTTCGTTTATTCAGTTAAATAATTATACAAATATAAGTAGAAAAACTGTTATTGTGAAATTACAATTCTCATGTCTATTTAGCGAATAATAGGCACTATTCTTATATGTTCTCCATTATTCAAACTTTTTCATTTGGACAATCCATTTAACTATCTCTATGTAATACCCTGGTTCTTCCACTAGCTACGTATTTTTATACGATTTTCGACATAATCTTCCTTAACATACCCATCATTCCGTTCGCGATATTCAGACTCTCACTGTTCGATGCAAAAAAAAATTCATAACCGTTCCTGAAACAATTCGTCCGCTAAAAGTATTTCACGTAAGTAAGCTCTGCATCTAAAACCACGAATAATAACCAAAGTATCACATTTTAACGACATCGAATTTTATCTGTTTTAGCTTCCCGCCCGTGGATCCTCTAAGAGATCCCCTAAACGACACTAACAGCACGGTCGGATTTTGCGATATGAAAATCAACAGTATACACTTACCAAACGATGCTAAGTCATCTCGAAAACGAACATCTAGAAGAGCAATGTCTAATCGAGGAACTCAATCTTTACCTCGAAGCTCCAAAGCGAAAGACGCGAAAAACAAGATGGCGTCGCGACCGAAGCAACTAGAACTGAAGTCGCCAAAGATGGACCGCGTCAGAAACCTGAAATGCGACCATTGTAAGAAACAATTCAATCAAAAGAAGCCTCTAGTGGTGCATATGACGCAGCACAAACAGCAATGTACATCTTGCGATGAAACGTTCCGATTGAAGAAAGATCTGAATCTACACGTGGAAGAGAAACACGGCCCGGTGATCTATCCGTGCACCCTTTGCGACTACAAGAGCGTTAACAAGTGGACGGTGGAGGCGCACGTTATTCGCAAACACATGGCCAGCTACCCGTACACCTGCACGATCTGCCAGAAAAAATTCAAGCTTAAGAACGATCTGAAGCAGCACACCAATAAGATGCACAACAATTCGCCACCCATTATCTGCACCGTCTGCGGGCACGCTTACAAAAGCGTTCCCGGTCTGAAGGCTCACATGAGGTACAGTCACTACAAGCATGCTTTCCAGTGCAGCTTATGCAAACGTTGTCTGTCCACTCAGAACAGCCTGGATCAACATTTAGTCTGGCACCAGAAGCGCGAGAAAGTGGTGTGCCCCACCTGCGGGAAGACGTTCGGCCAGAAGAGGGATCTCGAAATTCATCTGAGGATCCACGAGGGTATCAAACCGTACTCGTGTCTAGTTTGCAGTAAACCGTTCACCCGAAAGAACACGCTCGAACAACATATGCTGATACATACTGGAATGAAGCCGTACACTTGTGATATTTGCGGGCAAGGCTTCGCTCAGAAGGCGGGGCTGATTTGCCATAGGAAGAGACATCCTGGACCCCTGCCGCCTTTACCAGTGATCTCCGCCAGGAAACTCATCATGGATTACACTCAGGAACTGAGTAAAGTGTCGAAGGAGGGAGACGAAGGTCGGAAAAAAGAGAATCCTGGTGAAGATGACAGCCAAGCCCATGGGAAGGAGGATCGAGTGGTTTGAATGCTATTTGAGACTGTGCTCAAGGGCTGTGCAGTTAAAAAGTACAGAAATTCATTTTTATTATTCTGTGTTTGGATTTGAGAATGTTACTACCTTGAAATCATTGAAACGAAATATCTATGTGTAAAAATGAGGATTAGTCGGAGTACAAGATGTAATTTTAGACCCTGTGTTGCAGTAGTTACAAATTGTAGTTCGAATGAACTGAGACTTTCGAGAAGTGATTGTTTTAAATTTCGTCGTTTCTGCGAGCTTTATCGCGATTTTGTTGAGATTTGTAATCGAGCTGTGTAGTTAATGAATTTTATACGAATCGCGAATGCATGGCGGATTTAAATGTGGACAATACTATTTTTAAGAGGTCGAAAAATATATATTTTTTGAGTAATTCAGAAGACAGATTGCAAAAATGACTACATGAAAATGTAATATTGTCGTTTTGTATCGTTTTGTACTTTGTACGTTATCTTGCAGGAGGAATTGCGGTATGAAATGTAATAGTCAACGGCTGAATGTATAGAAAAATTGTAATCATCCTGAATTAAATAAAAAACTAATTCATTTAAAGAATAAAGATAAGAGATAAATTTTGATTTTGTGACAACGAATCATATTATTAAAAAATGTTCGTCTTCGTGCTTCATAGTTTTATTTATGAAAAAATTGTGAAATACGTGTCAAATAACAATTAGAATCCAGCTACATTTGCATTCGTCTAGATATGACTCGTCACATGTTGGTATGTATATTAAAAATAAAGAATATTCATTATTAGATATGCGGGAAAGGTCTGCTAAAATTCTTTTAACATCTAAAACTCGATGCTGAATATTATTAATGAAAAAGAACATGTATAAAATTCCACACAAACCTAAATAACAATTAAAATTTAATCCCAATTTGAACCTATTATGTATTTCCTATTATAAAGAAAAACAGAACTTTCCCAGTCGTCTGATCTAATAATAATATTTTATCCATTTGTAAAACATCGATATAACAACATTTTTCTCTATTCAGTAATAAAATATACATTTCAAGAAAGTTTCCTAAAGCTCCATTCCATTTTCAACCGAACTTAAGTTCCATTGTAAGACAGTGAATAAACATAAACACATCTGCAACCTTTCCACACATCACAATAACCACACGTCTCCATTTATTTACTTAACAAAAACAGATACTACATTCACGCTGATTTTCAGATCCCGAAGACCAGCGTCCCGTGCGGTCCACGAGTGCGTGAAATGCGGCGCCTGTTTCTGCCACACGCGGAAGCTCGTCGAACACCTGAAGAACCTGCACGGTATCGACAAGGCCTTCAGCTGCGACGAATGTGGGAAAACGTTCAGAAGCCCTATGAACATAGCCCGTCACAAGCTGATCCACACAGGCTTGAAAAGGTTCGCCTGCGATTTGTGCGACTATCGGTCGAATCAGAAGTCGAATCTGGAGAACCATCGTAGAAGGCACACGAAGGAGCACTCGTTCGAGTGCAAGGAATGCCACAGAGGCTTCTTCCTCAGAACAGAATACCTGGAGCACGTGAACGTTCACACACGAAAACAGGTGTTTCGATGTGAACACTGTGACAAGTCTTATCCCTATAAGAGGAACCTGATGGCCCATCTTAGGCGGCAACACGCGAGCACTATGCTTGAAACGACGAAGAACGAGGCCGAACGTAAGCACGCATGTAGGATCTGTTTGGAGAGTTTCACACAGAAGCTATTGCTCGGAAGACACCTGAAGGAACAGCACGGTTTACGCGATAAAAGCGAGCATCTGTGCGATCTTTGCGGCGCAGTACTGTCCTCCAAGAGGAGGCTAATGGTGCACAGACGTGGCCACGTGAACGAGAAGGTCGCGATGTGCGATCTTTGCGGCAAAGAGTTCGCCAGCAGGGAGAACCTCAGCATACATCGCAGGATACACACTGGCGAGAAGCCACACGTTTGTACGCAATGCGGCAGAGGGTTCGCACAACGAACGTCGTTGAACCTGCATCTGAGATACCATTCTGAGGAACGACCGTATCAGTGCGCCGATTGCGGCAAGGGTTTCGTTTCCGGGAGTTTCCTCAGAAAGCACAACAAGATTCACGAGAAACCGCAGCACGAGACTTGATAAAACGACGTCGAATGGTAATGGAATATTGTAATGTTTGTGATTGTGATATTTGTTTCCATAAAACTTGCTTCGTGTCGAAGAACTTGTACAGTAGTTATTCTAGGCCAGCCATACTGAACCTTCTTTTTCTCGGGCCACATACATATGTTTGCTGTGCTACGCGAGCCGCAACATATCACACTGTACCTCATAATATAATAATGTAAAAAATAAATCTCTAAACCTAAATGTAACCATATTGATAACGTATATCCTTTACCTGTTTTTTCTTTGCTTATTCGAAATCTAATATAAAGAGAAAATGGACAAATAATTGAATATGATTCATTTATGAGTTACTGTGTATGTGTACGTTAGAATTTAAAAAGTCATCGGGTGTTCCTTTCTTACTCCATGAGCAGAAAACTTTTTTTTAACAGTATAACCTCTCGCTACGGGTTTTCTAAAGCATTCTTGGTGCTTTTTGTATATGTGTAATTGTTATCAATGAAGGATCCCTCATTCCAGCCACTGGATAGGTGATCAAGACGAGTTCGCTGGTTGCGACGAGTTCAAAATCAAGAGCACGGACGTTCTTCTGGATACAGGGCAACAGTAAGTTTTGCACACACTTTCGTAATAAAAAATTTTGTTAAGTATTCTTCATCGATGTAAAATTAATTTACATTCAATCATCATCAGTATCTACTGGATAAATGCAAAAATTACGTTCCCAAAACGTTCAATATAATACTTCCATAAATAAACGAATATTAAATTCCACTATTACATGAATAAGAGTTGTCGAAGAAACTATTTTAAAATATACCTTGATATAGTATAACATGAAATCTATAATAAAATAAAAGCCAATGTCAATTTCGTCAAATACACAATTATAATTTCAGAAATCTTAAAATAAGAAATCTGCTATCCGTTATTTTGATGGGTTTGGTAGTCCTAGTATTAAAGAGGATATTTTCAGTTTAATGTCTCAGTTCGACGGACAAATAAGTACATTAAATTTTTAGCAAAACTCTATTGGTTGCATATGGATTCAAAAATAGTAAAATAATTATCCAAAGCTCGTGTCGGTTGTTTAAAAATTTCCAGATTGGAAGGTAACGAGAAAGTTTGCGACCTTTGCCAAGAAAAGTTTCACTTCGTGACCAGACTGGTGGCGCACCTGAGGATCGTTCACGGCATCCACAGGCCCTTCAAGTGTGCCACCTGCGGGAAAACTTATCCGCAACAGTTCATGCTGAACGCCCACGTGAAAAAATCCCACACACCGAAAACCACCCCTTGTGGCCAGTGCAGCTTCATGGGGGTGAACACGGCCGACGTGGAAAGGCATACGAAGCGACATCACCGCGTGAAGCTCACCTGTGAAATCTGCAGCGAAAGCTTCGTGGACAAAGACTCGCTGAACACGCACACGACCATGCACAACTTTATGGAGTATCAACAGTGCAACGCTTGCGGTAGCACCTTTAATGACGTGTACAGGTATTACTTTTTTATTCTACTGAAACTCAGATTACAGGTATAATGGAGTTTTGATAAAATAGAGACAAGGGAATGTCAGTATTCTGTGAAATAGGGTATTATAAAATATAGATACAAAAATATAAAGAAAAATAACAAATATAGAATTTTACAGATTAATTTTGGAAACCTCGATCGAAAGAGAAAGTTGTTTATTCTATTGAAAACTATCAGGTTTCGAATAGAACGAAATCCTTATGTGAGCTGTTTTTTTTAAATGGGACGAGTCTACCTTCCTTTATTTCTAAATATTTGATGTTCTGTATTTTACCCTATTTAAAAATGTTGTTAAACGTTAATAAGCTTGATCATTTTTATAAATATTCTCCTCTCTCAGTGTTTCTCCAACAGTAAATGGACTTGTACCAATGTAAAAGAAAAAACATTTATGCAATTCCATTTAACAGGCATAAACTCCTTTTGACTAATTTATGAGAATATTGTATTGTATTGACTTTATTATCATAAATACAAAAAGAAGACGTCCATCTGCAGCCAAAACTAGCTTTAACTCATTCTTTTCAAAACTGGACTTCCACCATAAAAAACAGCTCGTATACTTTTATCTAACTTCTGTTATTATAAGTACAAAAAGAGGATATCCATCTCTGACACGTAGCTAAAAATAGCTTTCACTTATTCTTTTCAAAATGAACTTATACCGCTTTCAAAAAACACTACTCGTACACATTCATTGAATTTTCCAAATAGTACTGAGTGTTATACAATTATTCACGCAATAAGTCCATAATATCTGCGGTCCAGTTGTAAAAAAAGTCGAAGTATTAAATCACATTGATCCAGTTTGAAGGAGCACAATCGCCTTTATCACTACGACCCCGCGGCGTTGGTGCAGGAGAAGCTGGATGAAGGGGATCAGCAGTCGTCGATGCACAAGTGCGACGTGTGCGGTAAAGTATACAAATACAAGTCCGTGTTGAAGCAGCACAAGGTGAAGGCTCACGGCGATACACCGACCTACGAGAGGCGTCGTTATCTGTGCGCCCTTTGCGGCAAGGAACTGAAAACCGCGAAGGGCCTGGAGATCCACAATCGATCGCACACAGGCGAGAAACCGTACACCTGCGAGATCTGCGGTAAGTGTTTCGCATGCGAGACCCTGTTACGCACCCATAACGTCACGCACACTGGCGAACGGAAGTACTCGTGCGATCAGTGCGGCAAAGCGTTCACTCAGAGGTCCACGTTGGTGGTCCACAAACGCTACCACACCGGCGAACGGCCATACGTTTGCTCGCGGTGCGGTAAAGGGTTCGTGACCAGGACCGTTTTGAATACTCATATGAAATCTTGTCGCTGAACGGGATGACAAGGGTAGCCAAGATGCATTCAGGGCTGACAAACTTCCGTGGTGAGGTGTAAGAAATTAGTACTCCAAGTATTGTTAGTTAGGGGTGTATACAAAGTGTTCAGTAAGTTGGGGGTGGAACCGGGAAACAGATCAAAACTGCCATTTTTAACCACTTAAGGTAGCTCATGCGTTTGCTTATGCTTTTTATCAATTTTATCAATTTTATTTGAACGATCAATATTTTAAACTAATTAGAAATATTGAAATGGAAAAACATTTAAAATTAAATTTATAATTAAAATTAAAACTGTTTATGTGCTCTTCGTTTGTTTCGCAATTTACTGAATATTCTATATACACGAGAGGTAAGAGGAACTTGTCTATTTTTGTATCAGTTATATACAATTTACGTTTATACTTGCAATCACAAAACCATCCTTTAAATTCGTGTTCAGTTGTAGACCCCTGTAAATTTAGTTATACATCATTGTACCCTTTCGCAATCGTAGAAGATAATGTTTAACACTAACCGTACCGAGACTTTTATATACTTATTTGTACCGTATGTAAAACCGGTCATTTGACCGGCGGTCGATACGGTTAGTGTTAATATTCTTCTCCAGACAATCTCATCGTAATTATAGGATGATATTTTTTTCATTTAGAATAGATTAGTGTATAAAAGCCTTCGTTTAAAAAAAGACTTGTTCCATTTCACGTCAACAAAAGTTTGAGGAATCTTAAAACGATAAGAATTTCTGATTAGATATCAAGACGTATTCAATATACATTAAGTCAAACATTCACTATTCTTGAATTAGATAAAAGTTTCAAGAATAATATTTATAACGTAATGTGATAATCTAATAATATAGATTTTTTACTTTTTTATACACTGTTGTTTATACTCTTTCGTATATATATATACAGTTTAGAATTAATATTCTTAAAACTAAATGCTCATCGAACACTGCCTGTAGCAATTAACGAAACGAAGAATAAAAGTTTCCATGAAACAGAACAGTACTATTAACCGTAACAGCTTTTAGATGATTATTTAAAGCTTCTAAATATTTGTATAAATTGTTATGTGGAGCTATTTTAGAATTTCGTATTTATTGTTACGAAAATAATACCAATACGATTGTCAATCATTTTTTTATCGAATAAAGAAAAAGTATTATAATTTCACAATACTGTCAGTTTACTATGTTAATTTATGCTTCGTGACATAACTTCTATGTTTTCATTGAACTATTCGATTCCCAAAGTATTACAAAAAAGAATGAACAAACCTCATCTCTTGAAAAAAAATGCTTTATGTTGTATAAGAATACTTAACAAACGATAAAATGTCGAAATTATAAAAATAATAATGTACAATCAACAAAAATAAGCAATTATTCCATGAATGATGGGTAGATATTGTTTTTATTCTCTGTCCGTAATATCGAGAGACGCCAGTGGGATTGATACCGGTGGTCGACAGCCAGAACGATCTTCAAAAAAACATTAGTAGAACACTAAAACCGAAGCTGGATCCTCAATACGGAAATCTACTTCTTGATCCGCCATCTTGTGATCGTAATGGTAATTGATGTCATTCAGGATGGCTCGGTTCCGTGCGTTAACGTTGCGTGGTTTCACGTGAATTGTGCGAAAACCTATCATGAATTTCCACAAAATTACAGAATGAACATTACCGTTAAAAATGTAAATATTTATTCACCAGGTGGAAATAAATATTTCCTACTCACGAGTTTTGCTTTCAGCTTGAAGCTGACAGATATCCCGCAAGGTATCGAGACTTCTTATTATACCGTCGTATTGCAATCTTGTCAACTGTTTGCAACGAACCACCATACAGATCAGTAGATCATCAAGCATTTCCCGATTATTTCTCAGTTGTAACATCACTTCCGCTAGGACAATTCAGAGAAATATTTCAAGAATTCATAATTATATACAAGATATACCAATGAATAATTCACACTTTTTCACATTGTTTGAATATTTGTTTAACGAAAGTAAAAGAACATATGAATCTTTAATAATATTATAGAGACAATGTAATATATTTTAAATAAGTTTAATACAAAAGTCGTTCGTCCCGATCATAGACCTTCTTGTACATAATGTCTACGATTAAAACCAGCACTTTTTAAATGAAGTCTGATTTAAAATACAGGGGATGACGAGTATCAAAAGATTCTAGAACATTACTGAAATTAAATATCTGAAATAGTTGTTCAACACTACCACAAAGAAAAATAATTTTTCTCTTGTTCTAGTAACAATTCTCATGTATCACCCTTTTGTGAAGCACAGCGCCTATGAAAATCGTATCAGGGTATACTCCAAGGTAACGAATAAAATTTACAAGATGTCATTGTACCTAACGTGTTGGTGTAATGGGTAATAAGCAGTCCAACGGTGCTCCTGAAGTTACGAGATCTGCTCTGATCCCACACGTGTCCGCTGAACATTTGAAATCTAGCCAAGGGTACGCTGGGCAACAGCAAATAGCACATATCTTCGTAATGGGAGATATTAACTAGAAATCAAACTTAAAAAACTAAATGATTTATAGAATCAGACTTATTTTTATCTATAGATACAATTAAAGTAAATACCAATCGATGCGATTTTTTCTAATACTTCAGGCTGTATTTGTGTTTGGCAATAAAAGTGAACCGATTCAAGTTCGTCTAATTACATGCATAAAACTTTTGATAATAATTTATTTTTAGTTTAAGCAAGAATTTTCTCAATATCTTTATCAAAAAGTATATGTTTCCTGAGTTATGTAACTTTTGACAAAAATTTACAATGTACAGAGTATACAAACAAACAGTTCGTTTGATACAAAGGTTCAGGTTTAAACGTGATATACTTCCTTCAATGAAGTATTTTATGTTATCTACTTTATAATAAATATTTGGATTCAGATTAACGTGTTAGGGAAACTGTTCCAGGAAGTCTGTTATCTTCTGAGATAAAGAATACCGTTTAATCTAAATGAAACTTTCTTTTTTTAAACTAAACTTTCTTTTGTACAATTCCTTGGTACAAAATCTCACTACAAATCGAACATTCTTTTTGTTCATTCTTACATGATTTTTTGAAACAATCGCATCTCAATTGCCTAATGCAACTAACTAATGATACTAGAATCGTAGTTTGGGATATCAAAGAAAATGGCCAAAAAAGAGTAACGCGAAAATGATCATATAAATACTTTTTGTTAAATCGAAATTTTTTGATGTTACCGTCTATCTTTTGTCTTTACTTTCTTCATTTCGATTAACAGAAGTTGTGGAAAAGAATGATTAACACTATGACGATCGACAAAGTTGTTGAACTTTTTATATACATAACAAAATCCATATTTTATTAATTCTTGATAAGACTAAAAATTGAACAAAAACAGCTAGCCACTGGTGAAAGTTACTCGCGAAACTAGCCAATCGTCGTAGTGTTAACATTTATCAAATTAAGAGGCTCAGTTTGATTGCGTGATCACTTTTACGTCAGTCTGTATTATTTTGTACCTATAGTGTAAGAGACTGTTAGGTCGGGGCAAACAACGACCAAATTGTGCCAAGCGGTGTCCGCGATCGTGTGCTGCCTGGAATCGGAATCCCGTACGGATATGTGCAGAGTTTTCAGCAGTTTTGGTGCCGCGTTCGCCAAGGAGTTTAGAGTCTGATCCGACAAAGCTGGATAATCCAGCCTGAGAATGGTTAACGCGCGAAACCGACTGAGCAGCCGCAAATATCTGAAAGGTTTATTTTCCGTAACGTTAAATTCGACGAATTCGTTCGTTTATCAAACATAGAAACGGTGATTTTCTCAAGGATCCATTCAAAGCACTTATAATATTTAAACTCAATTCTCGTGTTCTTATTAGTACAACCACTGTGCCAAAGTTTTATGCAAATCGATTGAATTAGAATGACTATACAGGGTGTTTCATCTAACTTGATCACTTCGAATAATGACTTAACGGTACACTTTATGAACATTTTTAGGCGTGGAACTTAAATGGCATCAAGTGTCTATCTTATACATTAGGTTTAGGACGTATGAAGGTCCATACATTTTTACTCAGAATTTGATACTCTATCGATCTATGGTAAAAAAATAGGTCATTCCGTTAACAAAATCAAGGTGACCTCGAAATTTCTGAAATGCCTTCACCCACAAAAAAAAGCACGTACCTTATAAGTAGACTGCGAATTTTATGCATTTGTAACTTATAGGGCTGTGTGAAATACAACAAAAAACAAAACTTTCATACGATCCAACGAATTTTCTATTTTATTCTGAACCCAATAAGATGCTTAAGAGGGAAAATAAATTTCTACAATTGCTCTTGTCTTTATAAATTACTTTAGAAACTTTTATTTTGCATAAAAATCCGCAGTCTACTTATAAGATGCGCCCCTGGATGCCATTTAAGTTCCACACTTCAAAATTTTCGTAAAGCGTACCGTTAAGTCATTATTCGAGGTGATCAAGTTAGCTGCGACACCCTGTATATAGATTCGATACTTGACAACTGTCGCCAGTATTCTTTAGTCTTATACAACGACTTGTATCCAATTAAATTGAAGAGGTCCAAGGTGAATTACTTGCTGTACCTGGAATTGCTGTGAGGAGCTTGCCATTCACGGAATGCGCCCCGCAGATCTAAGTATCCCAAATGTTCGCTACAACCTCTGGATGCGCTTGCAAGAAGCCTCAGCACGTCGCTCACGCCGAGATTCGCATTCAGCAAACTCAACGTTTCCAAGTTGTGCTGACATCTGCGTAATCGTATCGATTATGTGCCGCGATGGGTAATTAAGTAGCAGACTAATCAAGTTGCAAACGGTTTCTAGTTAAAACCGTATAGTTTTGCGCAGCTCGCATTCTGTTACAGAAACGTGATAGGAAATGACCGACTTTTTAGTTCTAGATTCAACATTTGCAACTCTATCAATCTTACGAAATTCTAGAAACAGTGTTTTTACAATGTGTTCGTGGTGCTTCTGATGACTCGTTATTCTCTTGTAATTTCCTTAAGATTTACGAAAACATTTCATCCCCTAACCGGCCACGTGTCGTCTGTGAGACTGCTATTTTTATAAATTTTCTGATAATTCCAGAACGAGCATGCCCTTAAACCTGTTATTCCAACTAATCCAAAACTGGATAAACGAAAATAATAAATAATAATAAATATTTAAGTTGAATTTGTGTCGACTTCCAAGAAATTTTATCAAAATTTCATTTTTCTATCCATTCCTAAAAATACGAAGCTCACAGACGACACTTGATCGTTTGTGCACCAAAAATTCACATGTCTGGTTAAGGATTGTATTAAAATTTTAAGTGTCAAACTGATTATTAGGTTGGCCATTTTATACCATCTTCCTTAGTGCCTCCGATACAGTTAATTTCATTTAAAATAAAAGACGTTTAAAGCCTGCGCCCTGAATAGGTGGCTCTTAATAAAATTCCAAAAGATCCCGTATGTTTCCCTCCTCAACGTTTCATTAATCCCTCAAAAATAGAGGATTTAGAGAATACAGATGAATTACCCTAAAAAGTTTGTGAGGGCATAGAGGAGTTTGCCTCTGTTCCCCCATTTGCAACTGAAGATCCAGTCGGTGAGTATCAGTTTCTTTAATTGAACATTCTTGGCTCGCACAACCGTAAGGAAATCGGCCCCGGCTTCGGCTTGAATGTTACGAGTGATTCGCGCCTCTCTTGGCAAAATGTATGGTCGTGACCAGGCGAGTTCCAGGGTACGCATATGTTGTCCATATTTCGCCTAAGCATTTAACAAATCTCTGCTTAAACACGGTTAGAAATTGTTAGATATAAAAATAAACATTTTCTCAACTAACTATTCAAGAGTAAATTATATATTAGGTGTACCAATACGTACTCCACTATTGTTCATAATCAGTATTCGTTTCAAGGATCTGTACTCAACTCACAGCGATGTTCCTGCACGCTACACCATTGTTACATAACTAAAGATCGAGAAGATACGTTTAATTTCAAATATGTCGCCTCACAATTTAAAACATACTGAATTGGTACACCTAATACTGTAAGGAAATTTATTCGAGCAAACCTCACTGATTTTAATCGACAATAATTATTTGCTGTACAAAGAGAAAACATAGCCTGTCTCTCAAAGTTTCCGGCAAGCACGAAAGAAATAATACGAAATATTTTATAGAAAATCGAATCATCGGGGAAAATGTTCGCCCATGTTTTACGAGTATTATTGCGTACGGCTAATTCTCCCACCAATGGGAAGTCACCCCGCAGATCACGATCGATGAGGACTGTCACAGAACGCCAAAGAATCGGCGACGAGAGTGCACGGTTCCATGACTGGCAAACTTGTGCAACGCTGGCACGGTCCCCACGACCGAGGTGACTGAATATCTGCGTCAGTATCAGCTCCGGCAGCTGATCCCACATCTCCCAGTTTCAACTTGGCCCGTCTTCATCTCTACGTGGCTGAGGTAGCTGTCGCAACCTGGTTCAGGTTTTCTTGACAGGCTCGCTGGTATCGAGTCGATCGTCATCCGAAGCTCACGATCGGCTGCGCAGTTCACACGGAACCAGGAACATGAAGTACTGTTCAAAACGAACTTCCAATTATTTCTAATTTCTGCATCCTCGTGAATACAGAAGAGTATACCCACGAGCAAACTCGGCTTCCACTAGGGAAAAAAATAACGTAAGGAAAGGGCCTCCTACTACTTGGTATTGGGAATTATTGGAATTCATGCCAAATTAACATTCGACTTAACATTTATTTCACTGCCTGGAATAAATTTACCAAGACTTTTCTTCTACGCCGCTTTTCCCCCAACGGATGCCGACTTTGCTCGTGGGTGTACATTGACGATGACAGTGACTATAGATATAATAAGACTACGGGTGCCATTGTTGTCGAGGGGTCATGAATCTGTGCCTCAAGAACGAGCACCATTTGGTCTATCTTACCATAAGAATGTGAAACATTGCAGCATACATGTAGGATACATACAGATGTGTGTGTGATAACACAGACAAGAATCTCGTCTGTGGTGATAGAGACCTACCTTCACCCTGGGGTCATCAGGCCCCAAAAATCCATGACCGCACGATAACAATGGCATCCGTAGTCTTATTACATCTGTAGTCACTGAAAATAATATATTATCCTAGCCTGTTCTTGTTGGGAAAATATTCGAATGTTCTACCTGATTTAGCTACTGTAACAGAATAAAGGAAAGTCTTCTATCTTCTGATACAAAAATGGCGGGAGACGTATCACCGAATCGTCCAGCTGTATTACTTGAATGTACTGTACCCTTGAACTCGATGTTTCCATCGTCAAACTACGGCCTGGAAAAACACACAGAGATTACTCTGACTGAACAATAAAACTAGGGACCTAAGATTGAGATACCCATATTGCGACTTGAGTAACTTCCCTTTGATTTTGCAATTCCAGCAGGTACTTGAGAAAAAAACAGGAAAGGTTCAAGATAAGTACGCACTACATGGGAAATCATGTAAATTGCATGTAGAATATAGAGGGAATTCAGAGAGGTCTGTAAGTCTTTAAATAAAGCAATCGGGAGTTTAGAAACAGAGTTTAGAAGCCCGAAGAATACCCAAAAATTTATAGGAGTGGCTAGATAGGCCAAAGAGCGATAAAAAATTAGAAATAGAAGAAGAAAGTATTTTGGCAATCGTTTAATATTTGCTAACAAAGCCGGACTTGCAATAACTTAATATTATTAACAATTCAAATGTCCGGTTACGCCAGAAACGTAAATACAAAAGAATTCGTTCATATCGCGAGTGACGTGTTTGCGGACAAATACGCTCTGATATGAATGGAGTGGTATTATCAGACGCGTTTGAGTCATTAGAGTGATTCATAAATGAAGGACGTAACAACCGATGCGATAGACTGAATTTTTATAAATTGCAACGTAATCGTATGCACTCAGAAGTTCTGTATTCCGTCGCGTGTGTTTGAATATCCGAACGCAATGCATTGGAACTTTTGTCCTTGAGGTGTCGATGTAAAACGCAAAACAGATCTTTCATGCTGGTGGTGTACTATCAGATTACCGTAAGAATCCTTGATGACCTTTAATATAAAAGTATGTTGTTAATGATTAATAGTATTCTATTAAATTGGGATAAAATTATCGCTCTTACAGCTTAATTAACATTTGTTTAATTCGTGTTACATTTTCAATCCGATATCGAACTTTGTAAACAACAGGATTCATTAAACCAAGATTTACTCTATATTTCTATCATATTTTTACGCACACCTAAGGTAAAACGAATAACGAGTTTATATAATAATCTTAAGAACGAGTCGAAGAATTATCTAAATCGTTATTAAATTAATTAGTTTGCTTCCTCGACGGCATAAACAAGATTTTCCTGTTTATTGGTTCAACGTTGCGGCAAACTTAATAGTGTGGTGCGTTGTAAGATGGCGCTGCGAGAGGCGATAAGTTGCACGCTCAGAATTCCTAGTAACCCTAGTCAGTACGCGGAGTGCATCCAGTGCATATGCACCGAGCGGATACATGAAAATGAGAGTGCAACGTAATTTACAATGCACGTAATGTCAAGGACTGAACTGACCACGGATAGTGGCTACCGTATAGCAACACCGTATACGTCTTAGAAAACAAATACTTCGTCCAATTACGTAATTGTTTGATCTTGGTCTTTGACCCTGATTCTAACCTGTCCACGTGCCTCTTCAGAGCGTTGAGAACGCACGAGATCACAGTGCAACGTGAACAAGTTTACGTTTACGGAACAGGAGATTTGTATCGGTGCCAATTTCCCCGAGAATATTACACGCATCGATGAAAAGTCGCTCGTTAACGGTGCCAACGCGAAAGAATGAAGGAGGCGGAGGATAAAGTGTTGGACGAGGAACAGTGGAAGCTCGAGGCTCAAGCCGTCATCAATGACGTGAAGCAACATGTAACGGACATCAAGTTGTCGGAAAAATTGCAGAGTACGAATCAGTTTATCTATTTGAATTTGACCACGTTGGAAGAATTGAATTTCTGTATAGAATTGTCCGCCGCTGGATTCACCATCGTTGGCAATCAGCACGACGATACCTCGAACGCGGGAAACGAACATTTCGAAACGCCGTACAGTTTATTAGACTCTGTCAGCCCCCAGTACCGAAGCTCTTTCGGCAGTTCTCTCTTCGCCAAGCTTAAGAAATTAAGCGACGAACAGTGAGCAAATCAAATGGAAGTTTCTAATGGTACTTCTCAATTACAATTGTTGATTTAATTTTGGTACAATCATTTCATTAAAACTTTAAATATGTAGTACCGGACAAATGTTTTCGGAGATATATTGTTTGTTGTAGTGTCACATAATGAATTAGTCTAAAGAGAAGAGTAGAATATACATAAAATTATATAATGACTGTGTCCGATCATTTAAGTAGTTTCAATGGATTTTGACAGCAAATATATTTTTCCAATAATAAATAAAATTATCTGTGGCAAAGGTATTCGAACAGTAGTTACAATTTGACAAAATTGAAGGAAAATAAGTATAACATAATTTTTACATGGGATGAACGTAACGTGATTAATATTTTTAAGTATATCCTTTTGAATTTATGACTGTCAGTATCCTTCTTGACAGACTCCAAATTTATACAACATCGGAAGCGAACTCGAGGTCCTTGTTGTCCTAGGAAATTCGATTATTTACCAATAATGACCGAATACATACTGTAAATGGTAGCGAAAAAATACATGAGTTTCTTTCAAAATTTAAGCGTGGGAAAATAGAAAATACATCGTGTTTCTGATCGAATTTTCTGCGTGCACAGTGGCTGCTTAGACCGAAGGAAGCCGAGGTTTTCCGAGCACGTATAATAGTAATTTGCAAGGACAGGGTCGTATGAGATACATGGTAACAAGTGTTCTGAAGTTTTCACATGTTTTGACGTAAGCCGATACATGATGCCAAGAAAGTTTCTTGACCAGAGAGAAGTTAATAAGCATATAACTTCTTCCGAGTTCTGGCACGTCGCATTATTACCAGGCTTTCCATACTTCCCATTTTACAGTAACGCGAAGCGATTCTAAAACTACCTCTTGTGATATTTACGAAACAAGTAAATAACAATATGAATGCATAAATTAAGGATCGCTTCAGGTACCTGTGGAAGGAAGAGTACGGAAAGCTCGGTCTGCGTAAGTGGCGTCAGCAAATACGCTTATTTCTTATTAAAATTTTGGTTGCTATAATTTCATCTTCATGTGTTTCACTATCATGTAAAATATCGTTAAATTAGTCATTTTTCATTTTCATTAAGAGATAACCAAGGTGACCTACACATAACCTTGAAAACATGACAATGAAAATCTTTCATCTTAATGGATTCTATGATTTATACAATATGAACGTATCCTTTAAAGTTTCTAAACGATATTAATTATTTCATCGCTGTTTCTCAATCTGTGTTTATCGTGGAACGTCCTGTGTTCAAATTTCACATGGTTCTGCGAACAATAGGTACAGCGGTGGGATACCGACGAATCGCAGGCTGCTAGAAAGATATCCCTAGGAATCGAAAGATCAGTCGGTGCAAGTGGCAATATCGGTTGTGTTTACCCCCTCCTGTGCGTTCGTTGCTCTATGCCCCGTTTGGCGTATTCCACTGTCGAGTTGTGTGAAGTAACGAAGCGGTTTCGGCGAATGTGTCGCACCGTGTACGCGTTCCGTTGTGTTTCTGAATGAGTTTATCGTCGGTCGAGTGCGTGAGAACGACACAGTGCACCGTGCTCGTTAACGTTTCAGTGGCTAGTGCGACGATGTCGAACAGTGAGCGATGACACGCCCGTGAAAAACGATAACGACGGCGATCCTTTGATTGACCAGAAACGACGGACAAAACGCAGTAACGCGAAAGGGACCCCTCTTCGTGCATTCGTGTGACATCAACATCGAATGAAACATGCTTCAACCACGAGCTCCGTGCATCCGGCGGTAAAGAAGGTAAATTGTCATAAACGTTTCTCTAAATATTCCAGTACCGCGAAATCATGACAGATCGTTTGTTTTTATTCGTCGTCCGTACCGCGGCTTCGTGATATTATCACGAATGGGGGTGAGACAGTCAGTTCCTATATCTCCTTTAAACCTATATAATTGCGAGCGATATCGTATGTGCAGAAACGTCGCGGATAGTAACATAATATCGCAGGCTGCTGAAATCGTCACTCCTCGCCCGATATGCATCCATGGATACGTATTTGAAATGTCCTCGTTATTGCTGTTTCTTTTGCCGCGAAAACATGTTTTTCTTTCGCTAATACTTCCTCGTTTCAAATATTGCTATTCTATGAGGGTTTCACGGTTTTTTTTTTACATATTTTGTAACTGAACGAAATAACGTTATTTCCGTTACAAATACTTTGTTTACATAAGAATTATACAATAACGGAATTTGTTTCAATAACTTTTAGACGTTTTACGCGTATCCATTACATTTGCATTGCATATTTTCGACAGCATCAGTGAATTGTGTATTTAGGTACCTAGATCGTCTACACATATCTTTTCGTATTTATGTTTTGCCCCGTGACGGACGTTTTGTATGTAACTGAATAAGTTTGTTAACGCGTTTAGAAAAAGTAGTTTCGTGACATATATTACAAAATATGAATATAACATTACTGATTTATATACACTTATTATGGTCTGAATGGTTTTAATGAGTGTAAATATTTATGTACTTATTGTTTTCGTTTTTTAAAATGCTGAATATTTACAAATTACAATTTTATATATTTTTATATTCACCATTCACCGTGTAATGTAATAGCCACAGTTCAGGAGCAATGCTGATGGTCTAATTATGATAATCAGAATGATTCATCAGTTAAAAGATTGAGTTAAAGGAGATAGAATGTGAAACAAACATCTTGTATTCTTTCTCAGACATTCTATTAATGGTACAATATATTTCTTGATTGAATGATTTATTTATTAATTAATGTACAGAAAGAACAATTTCCAAGACATTAATTTTCACCCTATAACAACTGAATTTTATCTTAAGAACCCGTTTCTTTTTAAAAAGTTCTTTCGTAAAAACCGTTCGTTTTAACTACTCGCCGCCAAAACGACTGGTAACCGGTCTAAAAAAAAATATAAATAAAAAATGTAAACTTCATAAACATTCTACAATACTTTCTGCATTATATACGTTATAACCAAACGTTACGAAAACCTCGCATTCGGCGTTATAGGGTTACAAAATTAATAAATTTGTATTTTAGTGTTTATGGATGTGGATATTATGTTAGATATGAATCTATTACATTACACTGTTGTAATTATAGAAATGGTTCAATAAACACTTTTATTAAAAGATGCAATTTTGTGTTACTAAACATTGTGCATGTTTTATTAAAAAGAATGTATTCACAGTATTTTTCAGACTGAATATTCTATGTACTATTTTTGGATAAGAAGCATAATCCATACATATATACAGAATAGATTAGATAATATCACCCTTAGAGAAAATTGTAGCTTAAAATAGATGTATGGAAGGCAAGCGGAATGACACTATTTGTTCTATAGCTATAGAAGCACTTCTTACTTCTAGTACTTATATGTATACTTTCAATTATTTATAAATTCATAGTTATGATGGATATGGTTAAGAAATGGACCATGAATTTTATTTTTAACAATATATAATTAATAATTTTCTAACTGAACAATAAGTAGTCAGTTAGATTTTTCATGTAATTATATCAGTTACGAAAAAGCATTCAGTTTAATGTTGATAATAAATGATGAAAAGTATTGTTCTGACAAATAAATTTATGATACGGTATACTGCATCAAATAGTGTCATAATTGAATTTAATTTATTCAGTCTTTTATATCTCACACTTCATAATAGACGTGAAAGGGGTTGTTATTTATACCTAACTAACTAACAATCTAAGCATTTAAAAAAAATAAAGCATTTAGAATAGAAGAATGATACATATAGAAATATCTCAGTTTTTGTTGTTCCAGTAGTCAGACAAAAATTTTTTCAGAAAAAAGGAATGGCTAGTTTGATGGTAACCACATCGAGTAAGAATAGTTCACGCAGTACATCACCCAACAGAGGAAATACATTGACCTCCCCTCAACAGTTGTCAGCTACTTTGGATCATCCACCAAAAGCACGTAATGCTTCACTGTAAGATTTCATTCTTTTTAAATATACCATCTAAACATTCACATTTAGAGCATACATTAAAATTAAAACTATTTATTTTTCTTTCATAGTATTTTACATAAAAATAAAGAGCTAAAAAACATAAAAATTTTTACATAAAAATAAAAAAAAAACATGCTTTTTCACATAATGTATCTAGTAATACAATATAAGTTAATGTTACTTTTACATATTATTATTTTTAATACTTAAAACAATACAAATCAAAAGATATATAAAAGAAGATTGGTGTACAATTAAATTTGACTTTGCAGATCCCAAACAGGGGAGGGCAGTACAGGCAGTGGAAGTAGTGGTGGTGGAGGTAGTATCACCATGAAAGGTAGTAGGCAAAAATCACCAGGGACTGTGATTCGAATAGGAGATGCTATGGATGAATCAAATACCAATTTAATCACTGCCGAACCAGATGAGTTTGTGCCAAATATTCACCCGCCAACTGATGATGAAGGAGTATGTAATCAGTTTATTGTAAAATAATATTAGTTTTGTAGAAACCTTAGAGCTGTTCGATATTTTGTGTATTTAACAATCCTTTCTCTTAAATAATGAGCTCATCAGACTGAAATGTGAATTTAATGCCATTCTAATAACAGAAATATTTTTATAAGTTTAATATTTTAACATTATATGTTTAACAATATGATATTAATAATATAAATCATGGGCATATTTGTTCCAATGTCCAACACCATTATGTATCCTTCTATAAAGTTGCTTATGTAATACTATGCTGTTGTGCATGTAGCGACAATTACACTGTAATGCAAGGTCATCAACCAGAACTGTATAATCAGGGTTATAGGTTAAGAAATGAAACAGCTATTTGCATAATGTTCTAAGTGGGTTTGAAGCTGGAGAATTCATTCTTCGAGACTTCAGAGTGCCATCATGAACTCTTAACTGTCGTTCATTGTTGTAGCCATAGAAATGTGTTTTGTTAGTTATAACTTACTTTACAGTGTTCAACGTTACATTTGTTATATGTGAATTAAGTATACTTATGTTAATATAAAATTAATTTTATTTATAGGAACAGTATCATGCAACACAATCGTTCCTATCAAATGGCTCCTCCGAATTAATAACTGACGATGTTGATGCTAGTTCCGCTCGTGTTTGTCAAGCTATTGAGCACATCCAAAATAAAATTGCTAAAACACGAGAGCTGATAAGAATAGAACAAACCACACGTGATGGTAATTTTCAGCAATAAACAGTTAATCAGTATAGTGCAGATATTGAGCACAAACCAGAGCATTAGAATAACTTTCAAACTATGATAATATACAACTTCTGTGTTTCCAAAAATCTGTTTCACGAATCAAATATTCAATAACATGTATTTGTCTTTTAGAAAATGTCAATGAATATTTAAAATTAGCTGCCAATGCTGATAAGCAGCAGCTTAACCGAATCAAGGCAGTATTTGAAAAAAAGAATCAAAAATCAGCGCACAGTATTTCTCAACTCCAAAAGAAATTGGATAGTTATACGAAAAAATTAAAAAATTACGAATTAAATGGAGCACCTGCAAGTCATAGACAACCTAGGGAAGTGCTTCGTGATATGGGACAAGGGCTTAAGTAAGCAGATTCCTTTTTTTTTTAAACAGTATATGTAGTCATGTAATTGCACCAGTACAGTAGTAATGTATTCATGAGAGCTCATATACGTATATTTCTTTATTTAATTCATTGGATACTATACAATTGATACTAAATTTAGATGCTAATGCCAATGTTTGTTGATAGTATAATTGACATATAGATTAGAACAGACCATAAGTATTTGTACAAACCGCTATTTCGTATGTTTATATTAATCGTTTAATTGATAATATTTAATAGTAGATACTTTAATGCTGCATTTCATACAGGGAAACTTACTAAAGTGATATAAATTCTTTTTGTCTTTTAATTCGATTTTTATTCTGCTAAATATAGAGAATGATTTCTTCATCTAATTTAAGACTCACTTCCAGAAATGTGGGTGGCAATATTAGGGATGGAATCACTGGTTTTTCAGGGTGAGTGTTGATATGAAAATAGATTTCGGAATAATGCTGCTTGATTATTCCTCCATACAGCGTGCGCTATTCGTAAATCTATTCGTAAAAAAATTAGAATTTTACAATGTCAATAGTCAAAGTATTTATGAAAGTTGTGCTGTAACCATATCTTATGTACCTCTGTATTAGTATTATGTAATTAGGATTATGAATAGGCTAGTATTTAAACTACAGTATATAATATTTAAGAAACAAAATTAACTTATGTTTATTTTCTTATTCTCATTACGATTTCTGTATTGTATGAATGTTTTAGGAGTGTTATGTCGAAACCAAGGGAATTCGCACACTTAATAAAGAACAAATTTGGCAGTGCTGACAATATAAATACACTATCACGTGAGTAATTTTTACTATAAATATTTCGGTTAACTAACATGGATTGTGAACTTCGAAATTCTAATTTGACTATTTAATTTACAAATAAAATTTATTAAAAAAAAACTGTATTAACGTTTTGTGTTTTAAAAAGCACTATCACTAGCACAACTTGCTTTATGCTAACAAACTTCAGTCTTACATGCAATAGTAAGCACATTTTTGTTTATTTACTATACTTATCAAGGAAATGATAACCAAATAAATCATATACTTATCAGTAACATGTAAAATATATAGATGTATACACACACACACACACATACACACTAACTGTAAAGTATATCAGTTTCATCTTAACGGCTTCTTTACCAATAATTGATGGATAAATACCATTTAATTTTTTTGTGCTCTCGTGGCAGTTGAAAGTAGTAAGTAATATTTTGGCTCAAATTATTCTACTCTCTTGCACATATATCTGTATTGTATTATGTTTCTTCCGTTACATACTTTATAAATATTCTGTTCTTCGGTGTACGCACAATACATGTTGTACTTTTCCTGGAAACTTAGTTATCTGAATTTTCACATGACTGGAAAACCAATTCTGCTCACATACACACTTAAACTACACAGCAGTTTCCATATCAGAGTGTTGTATTTTACAATCATATATTATCAATTTAATGTTTTCGTTACTATACTGTGTTATTTACTAATTTTGCCTTGTATTTTAGTGGCTTTCGTAAATTAAAAATTTGCTTTTCTTCAAAGTTAGTTATCCAATACATTTATCTACACTGGAAAACCAATTTCTGTATTGAAAAATTCTAAAATTGACGTTATACATACATACACTAGAGAAACCATTCCAAAATTTTCAGTAGTCACGATACTAATAATTTAAAAAATTGTTCGATCACGTAGGATGATAAGAACATTTCATTACAACGACCTAAACTAGGCACTACTGTAGTTGTTAATAAAGACGAATAATTTGGTATTGGATAACATTCTAACTTGCGACGTCTATGTCTCTGCAGATGGCTCGACTTTTTATGTAAACGATACACCGCGTGCAGGTAATGGGGATAACGCTAGTGTTGAAGATGAAAAAGCACACCATGGCTCGGCCACGCTTCCCGGTGGATGTAGTTTGGGATCAACTCACAGCGCGACAGCAATGAAATTTCCATCCGAAGAAGGTTCAGAGTGCTCTAGTGTCACGAGTGAAAGCGGACCTGGTAGTAGAGGACAAGCACACGCGTGTCACAGTAATAACGCTGCGCTTAGTCTGAAATCTATATTCTCGGAATTACAAGAACACAGAGAAAATCTGGATAGGATGAGGGAAAAATTAGAAAGCTTGAAGGTCTGTGTTCGGAATATCGGAAACATTAAAGAATTTACAAAGATGCTTCGACAAGCCACATGGTTACTTACATTATTAAATAATTTTAGACGTTACAACAAGAGGTGTCATTTCTATCCCATTCATTACAAGAAGAACGTTTCCGAAGCGAACGTCTAGAAGAACAAATCAACGATCTAACTGAATTGCATCAGAACGAAGTAGAAAATTTGAAACAAACCATAACGGATATGGAAGAAAAAGTGCAATACCAAAGCGAGGACCGGTTAAGGGACATACACGAAATGTTGGAGAGTTGTCAAACGAAAATTTGTAAAATGGAACACCAGCAGCAACAGCACCAACAGTATGTCACCCTGGAGGGCTTAGATAATAGCAATGCGAGGGCGTTGGTTGTAAAACTCATAAATGTAGTGTTAACAGTGTTGCAAGTTATTCTACTTCTTGTTGCAACGGGTGCTGGTATAATGATGCCTTTTCTAAGGACCAGGTACAGCTATACATCTTGCTACAAATAATCGTTTTTTTTTTTTCAGTTACATTAGGGGATATTGGAACGAGTAATATTACATGTTATTAATTCACTGAATCATAAAACGTGATTATTCTTCTTATATCATTGCTACTCTTGATTTCCATTCTCATATGCATATTCATTCATAATTCTTCCTCCCGTTACAATGTCATCTGATTTTATGTTCGCACACTCATTGCTTTATTTTGTTTTCGCATCTCTGTTGCAGCTGTACTAAGCCTCATTGTTTCATGTGCAGGGTGCGCATATTAACGACAACGCTTGTTGTATTGGGCATTGTGTTCGTGCTCAAACAATGGCCTGAGGTACACGACGTTGGCAGTCACCTCATGCGCCATCTTAAACAGACGCTCGCCGTTAAGTAGCATCGTAAGTAAATTATCATCGTGTTAATAGTTTGCGGAAAGAAACAAAACGTGAAGTAATTTTATGAGAAATATAGAAGTATGACACATATCACCGATACCTTCGAGCGGTTCGATTTTAATTTAAATTTCAATTAAATCCGATCGACTTCAGTTTCGATGTATAACGAATACATGAGACTTATTTTAGGGTGGTATACTTAAATTTACTATACCCTGTGATGAAGAAAAGTTGTACACAATGATCAACATTTTGGATCCGTTTATCAGTGCTGTAGTTTTGGAGCAATAATAGTAGGTATATGCGCAGAGACAACTTTATTTGTACCTTGAATTCGATCATATTCACCGTTACCGTATTAAATCAGATGAGTGATGAAGTCTATTTGATACCATTGACAGAATTACGATAAACAAAAAGAAAGAAAACATATTTTGCTGTGCAAAAATGTTTCGCTTAGGGAAAAAGAGATTTTCTAAAAACTATAAATGTGAAAGTGTCTTTTACCCTTTATAAATTTATGTTCAATTTTCTTGTATCTGTCTGAAGAGTTTATGTTTAAAAGAAATGCGATCAACTGCGTACAAGTAGTGAAAAAGTGATTATACATTATATCAAAATAAAATAACTGTTATGGAACATAAACGGAACAAAAATTAGAACGCTGTACACTGATATTGCTTAAATACATACGGCACATTGTTAGAAGAATTTACTCTGATAAAGTGACGTCGGGTAATGATCACGATCACTTTTCCATAAGTCATTGATTAATATAAAATTAGAAGAAATTACTGACTAATGTGTCGGCACTGACTAAAAGCTAGACGAGGAAATATTTTATCATCAGTGTCTGTGGGTGGTACCATTATTGGAATTAAAATTAATACGTTTGATATTTCAATGAAAGCGAGTCATTTACAAGATACACGATTCTAAAGCAAACATTTATAATTAATATCGTCCAATTGTTAAACAATAATGTAAATTAAGGAAACAGAGGGATACTTGCATACTGCGTAAGTACATCCTCACCTCAAACTTTATAGAAGTAGCATGATGTATTTTTTAGTGTCGACGGTAAGATGATCAACTCGATAAATCGTAGAGATTACAGTATTTCTAATTATCTTTATATATCATTATGTAAGTACATTCTCACCTCAAACTTTATAGAAGTAGCATGATGTATTTTTTAGTGTCGACGTAAGATGATCAACTCGATAAATCGTAGAGATTACAGTATTTCTAATTATCTTTATATATCATTCACAAACGTAATCTACATTCATGAGAGTTTAAAAAGCGAAACTTCTCGGAGTATGAATAAAAAGTGTATATGTATATATAACAGCGAATATCAAAAGAGGACCAACACGCTCCCTTCCTCTTACTATGTAATTATAATTCACTTTGTGCATGATATAAAAGTGATACTTGGTCGTGAGTAAACGGATCAAGCTTTTTAGTCTCATGAGTGCTTCAAACCACCACAGACACAACTACGCATACATATAATAATATGAATATAAAGAAATGAACCATGACAGATATTGAAATGAGAGAAAGACTGATGGACTACATCGCTGTTACAATTGTGAATAATTTAATATTCGTGGCAATTTTACGTTGCTAATCATCGGAAATCTTAAAACAGTTAGAACAATATAAGGAAAACAAAACAAAAAGACGGAACAACAATCGTAAAATTATAATGGGAAGAGAAAAAAAAAGATTCTCACATTAAACATAGAGGTGCTCAAATCTGTGAGTGTATAAAATAAAATATTGGTCTACGTAATTCTTTTTATCATATCGTCCCTATTTAATAGTAAAACATAGTTTATTTTTTATTAAGTTTCCTAATTTTCACCTTCATAGCTTTATTGCTAAGCACAGTATCAGTAAACGCAAAGTTTCACAACCCACTATTATGGGTACTCTTCATGAATATGTGACGAGCGAAGTAAACAAAAAAAAACGTACTTTCCCGAAAACAGTTGATTCCTTTTTTATTGCTTACTATACACAAACATACATATATATATATACAAAGTCCTATTTACGTTTTGTAAACAATTAATTTATAATTTATGTTAAGTTCACGTAATTAGTTTTTTTGTTATTTGTATATGTTGGACTATGTAATGTTATCATTTCGTTGATCTATGACATGAGAAGTAAGGAAAAATAATTTTATTCGATTAACAGAAACTGTAAATAAAATTAAATTTATCTGGTAACGTATTTTATTTCTTGTGCCTGTTGTTCATGAATACAAAATCACATTTCCTTCTTTTTATTTGACGGTATAATAATTACAAAATTCATCGAATTATTCTATATTACTTTCTATTATTAATATTTACGACAAGTAGTATCCAATATATTTAAATATTAACAGAAAAGGAAATTTTATACTGTATCCCCAAGTCCACAAGGCAATTATGTATCTTCTCAAATCACATGTATTTCATTCTCTCAAGTTCGGTTTTCTTTATTACTGTACCATAGAACTTCTTTTCATTAAATTTTTTTTTAGCAATCACGAAAAAGAAACATTTTTCCCTATGATCCTGCTGCGTTCCTAATTTAAACACATATTGCTGTGACTACATTAAGTTTCTGTGTAAACGGTAGAAGTTAAAAATTAGTTTTTGAGATCAATGTAATTGCGAACGGAAATCCTGTGAAACAGATGTACGTATTCGTCAGAAAAAATGTGTGCAACAATGACTCGCTGATGGTATGTTGATTCTCTTAAAACATTTTAGATTGTTTAAATCAAACTTTGTCTAAAGAAATATATGTTTGCTTATTATTGTGTAAGTGATACCTAAACAACATATATAGGGTGTTCAGTGTCGCGCTGTATTTATAACGTTTGACTTTTTTTGGCCCGATTGTTATCCACTGGTTATTATCGGTATTCATCTACCACGATGAACAATAAAATTCTATTTATATATATAAGCTAACAATTGAAAAAAAGACGCAAATGTGTAAGAGTTGTATGTCCGATCGCCTGTTTGTAGTTTCGTATTGAATAAGTGACACCCTATATGTATTGTATAGCGTTAGATCCGTGGTGCTTTGTAAAATACATATGTAATCCAATACTAGAAAATTTGTTAACACCATCGACCATTGACTTAGCGAGGGCCCCTACATCTGCACGCTTACAACAGTGTTTATATATAATAATGAAACCTGGGCGTAGCGGAAGAGAAGCGATATGTTAGAGAAAAAAAATAGTAAAAAAAAAAGAGAGCAAGAGTTCCAAGTGTTTACATTGACAAGAGGTTACAAGTATGTCAAACAACGATGGACGTATTTTGTATCTTACATTGTTACATGTTTCTGTAAGTTTCTCTTTTTATCGCGGCTGTTTACAATTTTATATGTATTTTATATTTACCAAACTTCGATGGGGGAATGCACGACGTATGTATGTTTAAATAATTTCATGACAGATCAAACGTATAATCCTGGAATTCTCGTCAGTATAGTCGTTATATCTTTGTAACTTCAGGGGCCCCCCCTAGTTTATAGTGTAGAGGAAAAACAGCGTAACGAAGTACATATATCGTCATCGATGCCTTGCATAGGTAGTTAATGTCAAATTATAGATTAAATATTTGTTGTCAATTGTAGGACGATGTAGGGCAATACGAGCAGTGATTATAAAGGATGTTATCACGCTAGACGCATACACATTATGCATACACACGAGTGTACGTATGTAATAGCTGCATAACAGGTCAGTGTAATAACGTAGTTAAAAGACAGAAATAAGTTTATGTCCATTTTTAAAGGGGAAAAAAAAGAATATCGACATACGCGCGTAACGCTCGTATTATGTTATCGCTGCTAAAGGACAATTGCAAGCCAAGTATCGATTTAGCAGCTCTTGTCATTTGACGTTATTATTTAATACCGTTTCGAAATAAAAAGGAATTTTTAATAAACTCGGTCATTATTTCCACTGATCAGGATACTCCTTAGTTGCTAACAAAATTATCGACCCTTTCACACGGGGAAAGAGAATTTGTTGTTCTGAAGTTTCCTTTTTGAAATATCGACAAATAAATATATATACGAATAATGTGAATAGGTACAAAGAAATTTCAAAATGACTCCGAAGTTGACTATAAAGTTTTTGTATTTTATATCGAGAGGGTTTGTCAATAATAATAATATTACAATCATCACAAATTTACAAATAATGTAATCGTTTCATTATCATTTATAATAATATATCACAATTTCTACTTTGTGTAGTGCTGAAAGCTGTTTTATTCAAAAGAGAATCGCTGAGACGCCACAGAAATATACGCTGTGATAATGATGATCGTACGCTAGGTAAATCTAAATTTTCTGTTAACTTTAAAAAATTATGTTATTAATCATATATAACCACCGTGTTCATAGTATTTCTTGCAGTAAAAGTAGCTATCAGCCTTTGATTTATTAAATAATATGTTAATATTTTGCTAACATTAATAAGAAAATATTTCACTTTCCTTATTGTTATATTTTTTGCATTATAGTCGATAGAAGCTGCATCGTCTGATTATCCTAGTAATATTTCCAACAATTTTTGGTGCACATAAACTACGAAATGTAAATTTTCGTATATTTACGTAATGAAAAAAATATTCCCGTCTGTTCAGCATAGTTGAACATGTTTCTTAAATAAATAAGATACGTATTGTTTAATGAGTGATTGTATTTCCTAGAAATACATTTAGAACATAAATTATAAATTATTATATTTCAATGACCTTTGATTACGTTTAACTCATCAAATAATTTGAGCTTTCTGTTAAAATGAATGTAAATATTGTCCTATCATAGATTCGTACATGAATAAGCATTTTCACATGCATTATTAGGAAAATTGATTATACGTAAAGGACCGTGTTCTGTAATATCATATAGATAGAAAAGATTAATAACCGTTCATCTCCAAATATTTTAGAACAATACAAAAAGTAGATAGTTCAAAAGTATCGACATATTTCGGTAAAATACTTATACCGATATAAAATGAAAATAATATAAATGATTGTTCAATTTCCTTCCTTTTTCTATATTTATGCGTAACTTTTAAAAAACACATCCTCTCCCTTTACAAAGAATTCTCGAAAATATATTCTTTGTATACATTTTCCACGTGTATACACTACAGTAAAGGAATACACCATGGTGACTAATGCCGCTTCTTGTAAAATGCAGACGCAATATTTTATTTTCTATGTGTTTGTATTATTTCAAAATCTTTCAGTTCTTTTTTTTATCCTTCAACATTTCAATCTGCTGTAATTTGAATTCCCTCTTGGGAATTTCGAAGCACGATTTCTGTTGGTAAAACATTATTTTTCACTTCATTCTGTCGAGGAACTGGTTCTTCTTTCTTTACAGTTGTTGTTGTTGTTGTAGTAGTTGTCGTTGTTGTTGTTGTTGTACCATGATGTTTCTTCTTGTGACACATCATAGTTGATCTTGACACAAACGTTTTACCGCACGCGTCGCATTCGTACGGTCGTTCTCCGGTATGCAGTCTTTTGTGAATTGCCATTGGTGTGAATTGCGTAAATGTTTTCCCACAAATGTCGCACCTGTAAGGCCGTTCTCCTGTATGCAATCTTCTGTGGCATCGTAATGCAGCTCTTCTAGCGAACACTTTTCCACACATATCGCATTTAAAGCTCTTCTCGCCGGTATGCATTGTCGAGTGAATTTTAAGGTCAACTCGCGTTAAAAATCCTTTCCCACAAACCTCGCACAAGTATGGTTTTTCGCCAGTATGAATGCGCAGGTGTGTGTTGAGGTAACTTTTACTAACGAACATTTTATTGCATACTACGCACGGATATTGTCGGTTATCCATCCCCGAATGTATTTTTTGATGACTTTTACAAAGTCCCTTGGTTATGAAACCTCGTCCACAAATTTCACACACGTACGGCTTAACGCCGAGATGCCTATTCTGATGGTCTAACAATGACTGTTTTGTTTTGAAATGTTGCCCACACGTGTTACATGGAAACGGCTTCAAGTCTGAATGTACTCTTTGGTGAAGAACAAGATAGCTTTTGGATTGGAAACCCTTACCACATGTGGAACAATTATAATCAAATTGCCCTGTATGCGTAGCTGTATGTTGTGCAAGTCCGATCTTACTCCGAAACGCTTTCTCACAAGTCACACACTGAAAAGGTTTTTCGCCGGTATGTTTTCGCATGTGTTCTTGCAACTTGTAATTTGTCCTATACTGTTTTCCACAGTGGGTACAAACTTTCGGAGTCCATCTTTGTCTCACTGGTGCTTGTTTTTTTTGTTCCTCCCCATTCACACCATTTTCCGAAGAAGTTAATTCTGATTCTTTGACTGCTATCTCATTGTTCATTGTTTTACTTTTATGTATATCACATCGTTCCTTATGTACATTCAGTGCATCTGTGCTTGTATAATATAGATCGCATGAACAGCACACAAAATATTGTTCAAAGTGTGCTATCATATTATTTGATCCTAAAATTGCTTCATTACAAAACGGACACACGTACCAGTGAGAACCTGTTTCGTCGATTGTAGGATTGTTTAGTGTAGACTCTAACAACGAATGTTTTGCTACTTTTGTATATTCAACTAATATTTCTGAATTTCCTGTTGGTACTTGACTTGTTGATGCTACAGTATCTGTTTGTGGAGCTGTATGTGTTGCAGTTCCACTGTCCACACCACGCACTTCTTCTATGTCGCTACCAGCTTCTGAGTGAGCTGGAGGAAAACATTCGTGTGATACCTGTAGGATTAACATTATTGCATGAGCTTAATTATTTAAATATTTTTGCTATTGGAACCAACATTGTGTTTTATTTTCACTCAACAACTTACATTATTTTCAAGTACATTTGTAGAATCCCCTGTATTTAATCTCTCTTGTAATCTCTGATATTCATCCTTTATTGGTACTGATTCAAATTTTACATTTTCACAATAATGCACTATTTGTTCTTGATTTTGATCTTCTGGAGTTATGGAAGTCACATAATTTATTCCTAACTGACCTAAATGATCACTCACTGTTAAGTTTCCAACTACAGTCATGTCTCCTTCTAGATGTACTGCTATTTGGTGATTAGATACCTGGAATATGACAATATAAGTAAATTAAAGAGGCACAATGAAAAACTTGAAGTATATTTAGACTTACAAAATTATAATGAACAAAGTACATTTTACTTCAGTGAACATATTCAAGCGAAATAAGGTTTATTAGTACATTTACTTCTTGTATGTGTTCGTTGACAATTCTGACAGTATCCCCATCTAAACAGTCGATACCTGTAACCTCGATACTGGCATCCTGTTGTCCTATGTCTTCTTGTGTAACAACTTGTTCACCACCCGCTAAGTCCATTTCATCCATAACTTGCATTGTATGTATAGTAGCTTCTCTTGAGTCCTGATGATCTTGTACATCTTCAATGTTATTTTGTATTCTATCTATGTCCCTTTGAATTCTATTCATTTCTACTACATTCCGCAAATCATGTTTTGTTATGCGAACAACTTCATCTTTAGAAATTTCCTTTAACATTTCCATGAACATCCCTTCAGTATGTAAGCATTTTTCACGAAAGTCAAACAACTGGTCCAATTTATAAGCACATTCCTCGCACACTACTTTTGGTAATTGATCGGTCAGAGATACCTGTAAATAATTAATTAGCTAAGAACAACTATTCGTAACTTCGTTAAGATATATATTAATTGATACCACGATATTTTACACTATATGCAATCAAAGCCAACAAACACCCTGATCATTATTACAAGATCATGAAACCTTGCACCAATTTTCTTCCTCTATTTATAGTTAAATTAGAAAGAGGGGATGAAGACGGAGCACCGAAGATCGCAGTGAAATCGGACCTCTAATTCTACGCATGATTTTACCTGCACTGGCAAGCACGCGGCTATTTTCTTGTCAATGTTACGCATCTGATCACCGGCTTCGAAGATCGGTAATCCCATTAGAATACCAGTTTTAGTCGCGCACAGACGACATAAATAATCAAATTCCTCGACGACGGCCATATCAACAGAACCGGGAATATCGTCTTGTCGCCAGACCGAATGAATGGCCTAAGACACGATCAAAATGCGTTTACTTTAAAACATCCAACAGGAACGTTCTATTGTGTGATTCAACGGGCCCGTGACACACATTACGAGATTCCCTAAATCGACTCCCGTAGGTCTTTAGTTTAAGATTTGCCTACTTTAGAGATATGCATAATCCGAAGATATTTGTCAAGTGACTCTCCGTTCACACCATCGAGGGATCCTCTTGCAATCAGTCGTGATGCCTGTAGCGGGGGAATCAGTTTGCGCTTCTCTCTTTTCATCTAAAAAGAGTCTGTTTTGTAGATGGCGCGCTGAACACTTTTCTTCGATTAACGAGGTACCGAGATCGAGATATTTTCATAGTCGATTAATAAGGTATTTGAATTCAAACATTTTCCCTATCATACGCCAACGGTAAAAAAATTGTCCATCTCACACTGACAATCCGAAAGTTATCAGTCGAAATGGAAGCTTCATCTTATGCCGTGTTGTTTAATGATATATATTATAAACGAGGCATAGGTACACCAATCACGTAACGTATTTTCGTAATACCACAGACGAGACATTGAATAGATTTGCATCTAAGGAATTTTTCACGTGCATAAGGGGATCTAGAGCCCTATTACAATTTGAAAAAGCTTTACGCGGAACTAATGGAGAATCAATTTGTTCGCGATATACCCGATACACCTCCAAGTACTCAAAGATATTGTTACGATAAATTGCGGATATTATTTGCGGTGATTAATTTTATTTACGAATTATTTCAACGCAATCTTCGATCTCTGAGATTTCTGCAAGAGATCTGCATGTGCTACATTCTGATGATTCTGTTACAAAATATTTACTGTACAAATTGTGGTACGAATTATTCGCTTCATAAAAATATCTCAGTTGACTTACAGCGCCATCTGTAGAAACTCGCACAAACTGAAATTAAACAATACCGACAGGTAAGTACACCCGCGAGCAAACTCGGCTTCCACTAGGGGAAAAAGCAATGTAGGAGGTAGGGCCTACTACTACTTGGTAAATTTATTTGAAATACTGAAATAAATGTTAAACCGAATGTTAATTTCACATAAATTTCAATAACTCCGAGACCAAGTAGCAGAAGGTCTTTCCCTTACATCACTTTTTCCCCTAGCGGTAGCCGAGTTTGCTCGTGAGGGTACATTGACCGAAAAATAATTGGCCAACTATTCTTCGGTGTACCACCGACTAGGTATAGGATAGACCTATCATCTTATAGGACTTCGTCTCCCATGTTCTGAAATACCGATTGTGTAAAAAGTCAGGGATTTTCTGCTGCCCTCTTAGACCGACGGAGAGCACCGATACCGCAGCTCGCTCTATCGTTCTCGCTCGCACGCCGTGACGTCACTCGATTCCCGGAATCCGCGGCCACGAGATGGCTCATTACGGTAAGGCATTCCCGCAAGGAAAATTCCCGGAAACGGTTCAAGATTAGGAACTAAAATTTTACACAATTTAGTTTCTTGTAGTTATCAACAAATGCTGCAAATTCGAAAAAAATCGGTCATTAAGATTGCATTTCTGTGCGTTTCGACGTGGAATGGCTCGTTAATACCCGTTTTCAGGATGCTACAAATATATGCAATATGCATATATCATAGAATTATTAGTAATAAAATAAACATAAACCTATGAAGTGTTCCATACCGATTTCACCGAGCTTGTGCAGGTTCGGGGTCGGTTTTGTTGGAATTTGTGTTCGCGTACAAAAAACTAATTACTTTTAATATGCTATTACCAACACGTATATCTACGTATTGTTCCATAAATTTAAACAATATATTTTTTAATTTACAATGACAAATATATTCATTATATACGAAAATCTATTATTTTTTATTTTGCATTATTATTTTAAATAACCAAATATTTGGCAAATAAATCATTTAGAAATAATTTATTATTTCTAATGATAAACTTATCTGTTATTTTATTTGGAATAAATATTGGCTCTTTTTGTTTGTAGTTTTCATTTCAAATCAAAAGTACCCAAGTCTGGATTCAGAAAAGTGCCGGAAAAATTTTGGAATTTATGGGACATTTATGGGAAAATATGAGATAGGCGTAGTGATAGGCTTTATAAATAATATTACATATTTAGTGAGTTTGGTGGACGCTTAGTTGCCCATCGCTGGTGTACATTGTCAGTAATACTAGTTTGAGGGTTTTTGCACAGATGGTATTGTCAGTCAAATGAAACGTTTTTATGGAACGAATAATTCTTGCCACTATTTCCATAGTATCTTGCGATAGAAATGGCAAACATTATTCTATCTTTGACTTCTTGCAACATTAAACAAAACAAATATTAATAAAAAACACCGCGATCGACAATTGTTTATGCATAGTATCAATTATGAGGAATCGATTCATTTTCAGTAATTTTCTTTTATACAATTTAACGAAAATATGTTGCTATACAACAATATTTCATTAGTTGATCTGCAATAAAAATGGCGATCTCGAATAAGTACGGGAATCAACAAAAGAGAAACTTAAAAGAAAATGAAAATGATTCGGATGAAGATACAGAGAGTAAGTACTTGTAATTACATTTTTACCATTTGATATTGTTTTTCACATTTAAGTGTCCATTAGATAATCAAGTAACAAAGTTGGGATTCATTGTTTACATGGTTGTTGTTTAAGGTTATGTAGTGTTTCATTTTATTGTAGATGTATTGTTAAATTCTAAGTGATTGTACGATATTTTAGCTTCCTTTTGAATTACAATGTTTTAATTTAAATTAACAAATTCTATCTGTTTATAAATATGTACTTTTCACTTTTAACCTAAAAGTAATATAAGATACAATTTCGACATTTCTTTAATTACAGAGCATGTTAAATTTGGAAGAATAAATTCGGAGGCACCACGACTGTGTCCTTATTTGGATACGATAAATCGACAATTTTTAGATTTTGATTTTGAAAAATTATGTTCCGTTTCATTATCAAGAATTAATGTGTATGCTTGTCTTGTATGTGGAAAGTATTTCCAAGGTAGAGGTACTAATACTCATGCATATACACACAGCGTGGCAGAAAGTCATCATGTATTTCTAAATTTACATACTTTAAAATTTTATTGTTTACCCGACAATTATGAAATAATTGGTAAGCCAGTGCTCTTATTGTTTTTCTCTTAAAATATATCACTATCAATTAATAAATAATGCTTATCCAGATTCATCATTGGATGATATAAAATATGTTTTGAATCCAACGTTTGATAAACCACAAATTGCTCAGTTGGATAAAAGCGATAAGTTATCAAGAGCTATAGATGGATCATTATATTCCCCAGGTATTGTGGGAATGAATAACATTAAAGCAAACGATTACTGCAATGTTATTTTACAAGTGAGTTATTTTTAGATATGTGATCATAGTAATACATTGTGATAAGAAAATACAAGTTGTGTTATTTAGGCACTTTCTCATGTCACACCTTTAAGGGATTTCTTTTTAAGAGAGTCTAATTATTCTCATGTGAAAAGACCACCTGGTGATTCCTCCTACTTATTAGTTCAGCGGTTTGGAGAATTAATGAGAAAATTATGGAACCCACGTAACTTTAAAGCACATGTTAGTCCACACGAAATGTTACAAGCTGTTGTTTTATGGAGTAAAAAGAGATTCCAATTTACTGAACAGGGTATATAATGCAATATATAAGCACAAAAACGTTTATAGACAAATTAGATTCTATACGTTGAAATAAAATTTTTAGGCGACCCAATTGATTTTCTTTCGTGGTTTTTAAATGCTCTTCACTTAGCATTGAATGGTACAAAAAAACTTGACTCTAGCATAGTGTACAAAACATTTTTGGGCCATATGCGTATATACACACGAAAAATACCGCCACTGGAATTAGATGAAAGTCAAAGAAGCGAATTGCTTCATACTGTAGAATATGGTGAAACTCTAACAGAAAGTCCATTTTTATACTTAACATGTGATCTACCTCCGCCTCCTCTTTTTAAGGACCAGTTTACTGAAAATATTATTCCTCAAGTAAGTAATTAATTATATTAATGTTACAAATGCAACAAAATACATCTCTGTTAATTTCCGTAGGTTAATTTATACACACTGTTAAATAAATTCAATGCAGTGGCTGAAAAAGAATATAAAACCTACAAGGAGAACTTCATGAAAAGATTTGAGATTACAGAACTTCCTCCTTACCTTATACTTTATATAAAAGTAGGTATAATTTCTTTCATAATAGAAGTTAAAACTTATTAACATATGTTCATATTTAATTCTTTTACAGAGATTTACAAAAAATACATTTTTTGTAGAGAAAAATCCTACTATAGTTAACTTCCCAGTTAAGTAAGTTTCTGTAATGTTAGTTCTTATGTTTGCGAAATAAATTTAAGTAGTAATTTGTGAATATATGTATATTTTTTTCAGAAATGTAGATTTCGGAGACATTTTGACACCTGAAGTGAAACAAAGGCATCCTTATACAACATACGATTTAGTTGCAAATATTGTTCATGATGGTGAGCCTGGTCAAGGAACATACAGGGTCCACATTTTGCACAGAGCTACTGGTCAGTGGTATGAATTACAGGACTTACATGTAACTCAAATTCTACCACAAATGATAACATTGACTGAAGCATATATACAGGTATATGTTCATTCCTATAAATGTTTACGAAAGCATTGTTAAATAAATATTTCATAATGTTTGTTTCTTTCAGATATACGAATTAAAAAAAGATATAAGTACGGAAAATGGTGAAAGTAGAAATAAAAAAACAATGTAAAAAATGTAATTTTTTAAATAAAATATTTCCATTTTTCACTTTTATTTGTTATTTATTATAAAACATTTCATCGTAAAATTCATACACCGACTGATTTACTTAATTTGACGGTGTCAAATTACTGTACATTCATAAACACGTATACGAAAATGTTTAAGTTCAAAGTTATTTTCATTGCACATACACCCCAAATTTTTAAGGTGACCCCAAAACTCTTTCCTTAAGATTTCAGATGTACGTTGTCAATTATCAAATTCAAATAAACATTTTAAAAGTTCCAATTTTCTTTTCCCGGCGCGGTTGTAAGTTATTTTTAAGATTGTCGTGCGAAAGGTATTATAAAGCCATTGTTATAGGATGGATATTTATTAAAATACATTACAAAGAAACGTGATCTGATTCATTATAGAATAATGCGTATTTTTCCCGATTCCGATGGTAAACCTTAATCCTGTTTATATTGTCCAACACCACGACACGCCGATCAAGCCGAAAAGCGGCGAACTTTGCCGAGAAGATCGGAAGTGTAAACTGGAAGTAGAAGTCGCATTGCTGGTGGAGGGGAATCGCGCGTGGAGGGGGGTCAGAGTGTCGCGCCGAAGCCCAAGCGAGCCGGAGTGGAGTCACAGCCGGCCACGCGAGACGGTTACAAGCGAGCGTTTTCTTTCGTGCGCTTCGTGTTTTTTCCATCTTTTCTTTCCGCCGCCGTGCATTTTGTTTCTTCCGGAGTGTATCGGTATACGACCCGTTTCCGCGTATCGTTCCCTGACGCATTCGTGATACTGACGTTCCGACCCGTCGTAGTTCATCGCCGTGAGTGTTTTGTCTTTCTGTGTGCACGTTGTGTTTGTCCAGTGTGTTCTCAGCACGTGGATTATCGCCGGTGGGAGCGACGCTTGCACAGCGGTGAGTACTACCTTTCTTCTTTAATGAGAACCATGAATTTTTTCTCCAAAACTTTGCCAAGTATTGTGTGTCTGCGAATGTCGCGGTAGCGTTGATCTGTACCGGATGCGACGTGCGTTTGCGATTGTTTTTTTTTTAAATCTCTGGCTGTCTGCAGGCGGTAACGGTTCTGTCTCGTGTAAATGGCACCTGACGGAGAATCCCTATATCCTTTAAAGCGTTCCCGCGTAAGTTGCGTATCAAGGAGTGGAGCTGGGTACTGTTTGACATAAAGTATTTGGAGGTACGAGTGTACTAAATTGTATGCAAATGAAACAGTAATTTAGTCGTAACATGACTGGTATAAGAATATTTTATTTCGAACGTTCAAGTTGTATAAATATTTGCAACTCCATGAAGTTGAACCGTGGATGAAAGAATATGTGTACATTTGGGTCTCGCGTAGTACAGATATTGAATATACTTACTTTTATGTAAAAGTGTATAATATATAAGTGGGTGTTTGCTAATACCGTTTTTACACAGTGTACATTAACGATAGAATAAACTGTTCTGTCAGTTCTGGTTTACATCATTGAATAATTCTTACTTGTCTCTTTGGGCGCCTTCAATGCCCACAGCCCGAGGATACATTTCTGTATTTTTTGTCACACTCTTGGGGCCTATCGCCTCGAAGCCCAATAAATTGGGGATAGGACTGGAGCCCATGACAACCCAGTGTAAAACGTAACTCAGACCATTTCACTTTCAGGCATCGGTCATTAAAGCATTTCAAACACACATTTTACTCCAAAACATTTATCCACCGTTTCTTTTATTTCATTCTCTGTCACAAAATATGTGAAATGTCTCGGGGTATTTAAAATCTTCGAATCTTATCTTACTTTTGCATTTAATTTAGTATCGACTGTAGTACAGAACTTAGCATCCATGACTCGCGTAGTGCACGATTTTGATTATATTTATTCGAGTCTATATCCAGAAACAAAATGATCTATTCATTATCCCTAAAGAACATCTCACCACGATTCACCGTCAAAGCGTGTTAGCAAACGCATCGAGCGACTTGAATCGTTAATTCGTGCTTGACTGCGGATCTAGGAGTAGCCACAAAAGACGGTGCACGAAAACGTCTCCATTCTAATTCTAATTTTCACATAGGCCGGTTATTCTCGGGCGCGCGACGCACTGCAATTCGGATTCATGTCGGCGTGCTGCCAATGCGCGCGTACCTTCCAGTAACCGTTCCGAATACCTGTTTCACGCGAACCTCGAAAAAACTGATTGCGTGGCCACTGGTGGAGGAGAGGAACGAGCCGCAACGTTCCCCGGTTAACAAAAAAAAAACTGACGGTTGAAAAGGGGGGGGGGTGATGTGAAAGGGAGGTGGTACGTTGACTTTCGAAGAAGCCACGAGTTTCGGATTCCTAACATCTCGCCTCTGATCGTTGCATCGCGTAAACCAGTTTCCGCGTGCTGAACGATCCTCGATGACAGATCGAAGGTGCATCATACGTCAGCTCCGCCATATTCATTTTCGACACCGTCGCACGGTTAAGGGGCTACGTACACGCAATCGCTCATGAGTATCCGGGCATTTGGTAGATTAGTAGCTGGAGTACGTAACTGTACTTATACCACAAGAAGGTAATACAAATACATATTTGGTTGAATCACAAATAACTTCCGCGATAAACATTGTGCATACATTAAATGATTATACTTCTACGTCACTTTTTTTACGCAATAAGTTTCATTGATGGTTTCTTTTCAATGTTTGTTATCGATAATGTTTACTGTGAAAGTATTTCTGTTCAGTTTCCAGAGATCGGAGTACGGAGGAGGTTTTGAAAAAAAAGTATAACGATAACCTTTTAAGCAGTATATCGATCTTACGATGGGCGTAGATTCTTTTTTATTGGTGGTTTAATGTCGTATCAATAGATAATGATAATTAGAGTTTGTTGTACTAACTTATTGAGTTTCATTTCGATAAGGCAGAACATGACCCAAAAGCTGCAATTAGGGTTCAGTTTATTTAATAAAATGCAGGTGAGATTTTCGAGCAACAGAAATATTTGTTACACTAAAAAATTGTACCCTTTGCGTTGATTTTACTGTTACTTTCTTTTACTAGATTTTCGAGATTCTACACACTATTTTTTTTTTTAGAGTAGTTTTTAGTTTCCAGTACAAATTTGAATTCTATATTCCTTATAGACATATTTGTTATTACAAATTACAACCAACCAAAGACTTTTTCTTCAGTGTTAGATTAATTGAAGTTATACACAACTTACAGTGATATATGACGTAAGAGAAAGTAATTACACGATTGCAATCAGGATCGAACAACCAAATATTAAAAATAAGAGCATCTCTTGTTAAACAGAATACCATTTTTGGTGAATATTTAGCTCACATGGTACATATTTCATACTTCATTAATTGATAAAGGCATTTAAATCAATGAACCCTTTGATTACGCTTCCAACGCTTTTAAAGTACTAAATACAATTTTTTACACCAAATTCCCCTTCTAAAGGGTATACTTTTGCAAAATTTTTCATATACATCAAAGTTAAAGCACATGTTCATTTCAACAGAAGCCTACAAATGTTTCATACTTACGTTTATTTGCTTAAATAATTCACCTGTATGCGTTTAGTCATTCGCAATTTAATGATTCAGCTCTTTGTACGTACCCAACCAATAACAAACGACAAAACGTTCATCCTTTGTTCACTACTCGAAACTCTTTATATAAATAACAATTCTACATATCTCTGGTTTCGATTTCAATTCAAACTAATTTTTTTACTTTTATCGTAAAGAAAATTTACTGCTCCTAATTGCATGAATGAACATTAACAATATACTCGCGACAAAGAGCTTCGAACCCTGTCATGAGATAATATATTTGTAAACCGAGAGATTAGAGTCCCTTGGACGTAGAGGATGTTATTAGCGAGTTTCACGCGGAATGTTCCAAACGTGGGCGGTGTATTAAGCAGAAATGCGAAGTATTATGTACAGTTTCGTTTCAAGAACCTCGGTTGACCATCACGTCCGGCTATACCTAATATTTCAACGGTCCCCCCAGGGGGGCCATTTTAGAATTTCGCGCGAAATAGCGAAGGAACCGGTCCCTCTGTCCCCCTATAACGCCTTTCAAGCCCGGCGACTTCCCGTCACAAACGTGTCAAGGATGGAGATCATGGTTGTATTCATCTATGAGAAACATCCTTGAGGCACTTAAATATCGATTGAGGATACAGGAGTGCATCGTCAAATGCTTCCTGCCGGTGCAATTTAACCGCGTGCATCGATGCAACACAAGCTCATTGTGTTTTTTTTTTTCTTGTCTGGTCTAGGTTTATTTGAGGGAACATTTTGACGGTAGATAATGTAATAAGGTGTCTTTTAAAATTTGAAACTAGCAATCCATTATTGAAGATCACAGATTTTTTCAGTAGTTCCATCAAATTACGTATAATTAATGTAATGAGGTGTTTAGTCAAGTTTTCTTTATTGTTTTAATTGTGTCCACGGCAACATTGAGTTTTAGATATTAGCTGTGGTTTCTGGATTTATGTGAACCTTAGAAGTATTCGCTAAGGAGCTGTTAATAATATCATTTACATTGTTAAATATTTGTTTTCTGGTAAGAGAACCATAATTTCACAAAGCAAACGTATATCTTGTAATGATAGTGACTTTGTACAGCTATACGAGGTCAGGTATAAATACTCGGCACAGGTGGACAAGATTTTAATCGAATAATGGACGGGAATTAAAAGAATCACAGCGTGAGCTTCACCACCTGTAACCTTCATTTTATTCGTACCTGAAAAAATATTGTAAATATAACGTGGAACTAGCAAATATTAACTTTCGGATACGAATTTTTTTTTTATAATTTTTTAAGTTTATTAACGAGGAAGGAAAGTCGGGTTGAACCCGTGGGCCTCTCCTCTATTTCCATTCTTCAACGAATCTCTCTTCGCCACGGGAAGGCATTATTGTTTCATTCTCGCAGGAAGTCGCTCGGCACGGGAAATAAATCCGCATCGGAGAAAGTCTCTGTCGAGCAGTGTGCAGTCCTGTTGTCGCTCGTGGCATCGCGTTCTCCACGTATACATATAATATGGCGGAGATCGGCTCGGAATACAGGATGATTCATAAATACATGTCAATATTTCATTACTGTATTAACATTTAATATTTAAAGTAAATGTACACTTGTAATTACAATTCTTTTTGTATCAGGAAAATAATTAACAATATAGTAATTCTGAAGAGTTAAGTTGTCATACAAATCGTAAGACAAGGGGTTAAAGAAAACGTTCGAAATGCCCACCTCGTGCCTGAACACATACTACTGCACGCCATAGCATTGAGTTCTGCACTCGCTCGAAAATATCAGGTATTCTTCGAATAGTCTCAAATCCATTTGATCCCCTTTCTTGCAGATCATCACATTATTCACTTGCGTTGAATGCACAATTGTTTTTAAATGGCCCCAAAAGTAAAAGTCTAATTG